TTTTTTTTGTTATCTTTCTCCCATTTTTTCTCTCTCCTCAGGCTATTGAGGAAGGAGTGAGCTAAAAACTATTTATGGTCAGCTGCTCTGTGCTAATCTGTAAGATAAGACCAGCAACACATGCCTTATTTTTATAGACAGCACTCAAAATTAAAGCATGATAATGTCATCTAACACTTCATGTCATGAGATGGTTTTGGTTTGTTGTAATGCTTGTGGACTTACCATGTATGATGATTTTTGTCTTGTTTGGGTTTTAGGTATAGGTGCTTTATTTAAATCCAAGTCTATTTCAACAAATAGGTTATTTTTGAGAAGGAATATTTGGAATTAAGGAGATTTGGCTTTTTCTGTGTGTTAAGTTCATGGTGTGACTTTAATGCACAAAATATGCTTTGTACTTTGGAAACAGGTTTGAAAATTGCAGAATGCTACCTTCCTTTGAGAGCTTGATCAGAGTTTATAGAATTTGTATTCTGTACATCTCAGGTTCAACATCCAAAAGTTGAGCACTTAAGGCTCTCTTTCCTATACCTTAGTTTCCTTTTGTTAAATGAGATTTTCCTCCACAGTTAATACCAAGTTAATATTTTTAGGCATTCAGATATTTTTCTTCCAGTTATTATTATTGTGGTGAGATCTGTAAAAAATGACTATGACACATCATCCTGCATTTTTTTCTAGTCTTAGTTCTGGCATTTCCTTACTGGGTGTTCATCTTTTCCACCTGAGCAATTTGAACTTTGTCCAAACTCTTTGAAAATGTGAAATACTTCCCTAAGTACATTGGGGTTTAGGTTTCTTTAGCTTTGTGTTTTTGTGGTGGTGGACTTGGGGTTTTTTGGGTTTTGTTTTTGTTTTGTTTTGTTTTTTTCATTTGGTTTTGGACTTTTTTGTTGTTGTTTTGGGGTTTTTTTTTTGTTTGTTTTTTTTTTTTTTTTTTTTTTGTTTTTTTTTTTTTTTTTTTTTTTTTTTTTGTTTCATTGTTTGGGAGGGATTTGGAGGTTTGTTTGTCTGTATTTAATATTCCTCTCTCTCTGCTTTGTCTCTGAGCAGTGGGTACAGCCAGGAGGTGGTTTGCTACACTGCAGGCAATATTCCTCAGACCCCTTCTGCACCACGGCTCATCCGAGCTGGTGTGACGTGGATCTCATTGCAGTGGAATAAAGTAGAGGGATGCACACCAGAGGAAGTGATTTCCTACACCCTGGAAATTCAGGAAGAAGATAATGTAAGTGCTGTGTTGCTATGAAGTGCATGACTTAACTGAGTTTTGATTTATTAGTTGGGGAGCACTGAGAAGCAGCATGGACTGACTGCTCCTTTGGAGGGCCTTCCAGGAGTACTGGGTACTTGGCAGGGTGGAGCTCTGTGATTTGCTCTGCTGCACAGCAGAATTAGGAATCCTTAGCTAAAAATCTCTGCTGTCATCTCTGATTACTTGCAAAGCCACACAGGATTCTGTGAGGTACAGGGCAGCTTGTCCTCAGCTAGGTCAGTCTGCCATGTCCTCCTGGCTGCTCCGTGGTGGGCTTGTGTTCTGTCATCTGTCACTTCCAGTTCTGTAGCCACGATTGGTTTTGTGCTTATTTTGCAGCAAAATTACATTACTCAGGGCAGCTGCAATGTGTTTCTTCTAAAAAAAAAGTATTACGGCCTTGCAGTTTAAAAGCAGTAGTAGTAATAATAATTAATATTGTTATATATGTGTTTGGTTTTTCTTGTTCTTTTTTAAAAAAAGCACTCGGCTATGAAGCCCCTTTGCTATAACATGTTGTAGGTACAGACACAGGGAACACTTTTTCAGACTCCTCAGTTTTTGCTGGAATTTGTTTGATTTTGTATTTTTTTAGGATAGCGTGTTTCACCCAAAGTACACTGGAGAGGAGCAAGCCTGTACTGTGAAGAATCTCAGAAGAAGCACACAGTATAAATTCAGGGTAAAGTCTTTTTCCTCTTGTTATTGTGTAGTGCTTTCTGGTTTGGGTTTTTTTCCAGGCACTACTGGGATCCTTTAGTGTTCCCTCCAAAACTGAGTCATCAAATTTGCTTTATATTGTGACCTAATATATGAAACTGTTAGTTGTATTTCTGCCTCTGTCATACAGGAGATATTGTTGCTCAGACTTCGGGGAACAATCACAACTCTCAGTACCATGTGGGAGGATATTGTAAAAGTGTAGCTCAGGGCTGTATTTACCTGGTCCCTGGTGACAAATCCCATCCCACTTCTACAGAATGCAGCAAACACTGTCAGGTGCCCAGCCAGCACGGGGGCCTGTGTTCCCCTGGCAGCCACAGAATGAAACTTTTCTGTCTCAGATGTCAACATGGCTGGGTTGGAGCTGGTTTTTAGCAGGTGTTGGTGTCCTCTCCTCTGTGGATGCTCAGAGCCCCTGAGGGATGCTCTGGAGTCTTCCTGTAAACACCAAGTTCAGCATTTTCTGTGTGTGCTGAGGTCTGTGATCACAGCACAGTCTGGGTGCTGCTGGTGAGGAGGAGGCAGTGGGGTTATCCAGGATCAGCTGTGGTGCTGCTGTCCATCCATCCCTGGCTGTCCATCCATCCCTGGCTGTCTACTGCAGTGTCTCCACAAGAGCTGCCACCCAGGCTGGTGTCCCCCTGGAGATGGCCAGAAGCTGTGTGTGAGGCCAGCACCAGGCTTCTCTAGGTCTTACTATATTCAGGAGCAACAGAAAGAAAAAATCATCGAGTCATAGAATGGTTTGGGTTGGAAAATCACCTGATTCCAACCCTCTTGCTGTGGACAGGGACACCTCTCACTAGACCAGGGTGCTCCAAGCCCCATCCAGCCTGGCCTTGAACACTTCTGTGTGTGGGACATTCACAGCTTCTGTGCCAGGGCCTCACCACCCTCACAGGGAACACTCTTTTCCTGCTCTCTGGGACAGAAGACCATGTGAAGTTGCCTGAACTACCCAAAGGATGAGGAAGTTTTTGTGTTGTCACTCTGAGATGATGCTTTTTAGCTTAGTGTTGCAAAGGCTGCTGTGGCTGGTGAGAGGAGAGAACCCTTAGTGCTTCTTTGTAGCCCTGCTTTCAAATTAAATTAGATTTTACAAAACTGCATTGATAACAGAAAAAATTTGTAGCCTGGTATCACTGGCTACAGGCACAACTTTATTCTTACTTTTAATAGTGTGATTATTGATACTTTGAATTACTTCGTAAATAGCAGTTAGAAATACCTCAAAACCAAAAATATCAAAGTTACAGTTATGGTTCTCTTATTTTTCTTTTATAGAGAAAAATACTGTGAGTTGACACAATTATTTTTAAGAAGTGACCTTTCTTTTTCTTTAAAGGAAAAATCAGCACTGCTGTTATGTTAAATATGTCACGATCTATTGCTGATGGTGGGAGGGGAAGAAATCACTGTGGTTTGTAAAGAAACATCATGACAATCTAATATCTGTTATTACAATCCCACACACTTTGGGATGTGACATTTGTGCTGAAAGAATTACTGAAAGAACTACAGATGCAGAGCTGCCAGAAGAGCAGTTGCAGTGAACAAGAGCAGACTCGTTGTGGTTTTGTTTCAGCTGTTTGCTTCCAACGTGGAAGGGAAGAGTTCTCCCAGCGAAGTTTTGGTCTGCACAACCAGCCCAGACAGGCCAGGACCTCCAACCAGACCCGTGATCAAGGGGCCAATAACAGCTCATGGCTTTAGTGTGAAGTGGGGTAAGCCAGCTCAGACTGATGTGGCAGAGATTTTTGGGGTCGTAAGAAATTCAAATAAAATCGTGGCAATATGTGTTAGAACTTGGATTTTTCATGCTCCTTCTCAGTCCAAAGTTGAATGTGTTTGGAGAACATGACAGCTTAATTTTTTTAATATTCTGAAAGGTATGTAGAGGCTCTTGTGTATTCAGAAGCAAAAATGTTTTGGTTTTGATTCATGTGCACTCAAGTACATCTTCAAGCTTTTCACTCTCCATTTCATGTCCCATTGCAGCTTCATTCCAGCTGCTTCCTTTATTTGGGGCAAACCTCCACACAGCTTCCCTTTCAGTGCTTTTTCCATACATTTTGTTTGGATCATCATTATCCAGCAGCCTTAGTCTGATTCATGTTGAAAACAAATGACTGTGACCCCCTTCTGCTGCGCATAACCAGGTGTAGTTACTGTGGAGAAGGAGCTGAATCAGGAGCAGGTTTTGCAATTATTTTGTCATCTCTCACCCCTATTCTTGTCCTATTTTTTCAGATCCTCCACAGGATAATGGTGGTTCAGAAATCCTAAAGTATCTGCTGGAGATTTCTCAAGGAAGTCCAGAAGGTAAACTTGAGACAAGTTGTCTCAATTTCAAAACACTCTGGCTACCATATGGGAGTCCTGACTCTTTAGGTTATTATTGTTATTATCATTAAAGCTCTAATAATCTGACTGAAACAGAATTATGTAAATTGCAGGATTACTAGGTGAGCTGGGGTTGGATTTTGGGAAGGTTTTGTAGTCAGTTTTTTAGGTATCCTCTTTTCACTCATAATGACAGGATTTCAGGTTATATGGCCAAACCTAGAAATATTTTTATTTATATTTGTGTGCATATATTTGCACATTTATACTTTATATATAATATTAATATTTATTTCTATTTGTAAGTATATGTATTTGCACATATGTCTATGTCTTATATCCTCAAGTGGGAAATAACATTCATAGTAATACTAATGATTTTCTTGAAATACATCATTTGTGGAAGATTTTCCTTTCTCATAGACACTCCTAAATGTGTTGTCTTCCACTTCTTTAAACTTGGATATATCTTATTTTTAGCAAACCAGTGGGAAGTGGCCTACAGTGGCTCAGCTACAGAATACACCTGTACTCACTTGAAACCAGGCACTTTGTATAAACTCCGGGCATGCTGTATCAGCACTGGTGGACACAGTCAGGTGGGTATTATCCAACAGTAAGGGCTATTTGGTTTATATTTTTCAGAGATTTATCTGCTAATTTTGGTAAAATACTTCTGCTTTCAAAAGAAGGGGAATGTTTCCCTGTACTACACTGATTGCAGTTAATCTCATGCTGCAAGTTGCTGAGTTTCAGATTTCTGTGTGTACATAATTTTCTTTTCAGCAAGCTGCAATTTCGTGAGATTTGGTTTCCTCAGAACCAATCTGTAGTTGTTTATATTTACATTAGAAAAGACCATCATGTTTATCTGATGTGGCCACTTGTTTGAAAAAGGCCACAGACTGTCATGTGCTTGACCCTGTGTTGACTGGAGATGCAGAAAGAGGTAATTTGTTGTAACAATTCCCCTCTTTGATTTAAATTCAGTACCTATACACATATTCCTCCTGCTTTGATACATTTTTTTCTCATTTAAGATTGAGTACTTTAGGCCTTGAAATTATTTCAGAGGAAAATTAAAACAGAGAGCCCAGTATTGAGAATGCTAATGAAGGAACTCTATTAATTGTATTTGTACTAACATGCTTGACAGCATCTCTTCTCCTTTACTGTTTATATAAACTTCATGAAGTGGAGAGTATAGAAGACAATTTCTTGTGCTGCTCTGTAGCTGTGGCTCACTTTGAAGGTGGTGGCCATGCCAGAGGGTGACTGAGCTGTGCTCATGGCAGAGGTGACTGAGCTGTGATTGTGCCAGGGTGTAAATGAGCTGTGATTGTGCCAGGGTGTGACTGAGCTGTGATTGTGCCAGGGTGTGACTGAGCTTGATTGTGCCAGGGTGTGACTGAGCTGTGCTCATGCCAGGTGTAACTGAGCTGTGCTCATGGCAGGGTGTAATTGAGCTGTGCTCATGGCAGGTGTAACTGAGCTGTGATTGTACCAGGTGTGACTGAGCTGTGATTGTACCAGGTGTGACTGAGCTGTGCTTATGCCAGGTGTGACTGAGCTGTGATTGTACCAGGTGTGACTGAGCTGTGCTCATGCCAGGTGTGACTGAGCTGTGATTGTACCAGGTGTAACTGAGCTCTGTTCTCCCCCAGTGCTCCGAGAGTTTACCTGTCCGCACGCTGAGCGTCGCGCCGGGGCCCTGCCGCCCGCCCAGGCTGCTGGGCAAGCCGAGGCACAGGGAGGTGCAGCTGCAGTGGGGTAAGCCAGTGCAGCATCCTGCTGCTCTAAAGCTTTGGTTCTGCTGCTGACCTTGAGCTTTTGTTTCTGCTGCTTGTATCCTGTTCCCTGGGAAGTGCACAGCAAATTCCAGTGGAGTCTGAGCAACTCAGAAGTGCAGCTTCTCATCAGGTGTGGTGGCTCAGCGTTGGATTTCTGAGCTCAGCTGTCCTTTAGGTCTTACTCTCTGCTCCCATTTTTTTTTTTTTCCAGCCCAATCCCCTCTCAGGGCTATGAAGAATATCTATCTTATCTATCATTAGAATATCTATTTTTTTATTTCAAAAACACAGTGTGACTCAAGATTTTTTTTTTTTTATTCCTTTGAAATATTGGCTTGGCCAGAAGCATTTTGATACTTCTAATGTATAACTTTTATCAAAAATCTGAGTTAGAACATATTGAGGGGTTTGGGTGGTATTTATCCTGACAACCAGTATAACACATAGTCTATTGGACCCCTGTTATTTTGCAAAGATGTTGGATTACACTCATGGCACTAAGTTGTCAAAAAATGAACACTTTTCAGAATGCAAGACACATGCCAGTTTCCAACAGAGTGTTTTCTTTACATTGATAATCTTGCAGCATCCAAGTATTTTTGTGGCATCACTTGTTAAGCCAAATTCTGGATAAGTAAAAATTCTAACTGTCAGATATATTTCAGCACCAGTATAAAAATCCACCCAAATGCTTGCTGGAAGCATTTTGGTGGCTGCTGTTTTTCTGATCCCCAGGTGGTTTGATTCTGTGCTACTGCCTTGTAACATAACATGCAGGTATTGTCAAATACATTGTTTTTAGGGGCAAAAACAAAGGTGCCTGTCACTGTCGAGGCAGGACGGGAATGAGAAGACTTGACTCAGAAGGCTCTGAGAGTAAAAACTCTGATTTATTCAAAATACGCTGCTCTTTGATACAGAGCTTCGTGAGGACCAACTCCATTGGTCCTGAAGTGAAAACAACCCACAGTATTGGTGCACAGTGCTTGATGCACAGTGATAGAACTTAACTATAAACAATGTGAATAACGAGAGAGATACAGAATTATTTACATTCTTTTCCAACTCTTTCCCAGGCTTCTGCCTGGTTAGAAACTCCCGTTTCTCTCTTTGGCTGAATCTGAGACCCACAGGTGCCCACAACAAAAGAGAGATATCTGTATCTATATAGATAGAAGATATCTGTGAGGTATCTTCTATTTATACACAAAAGCAGAAATACACATTTCTGTGGTATATGAAGTAAAAAACGGCTGTTCTGGCGCGCTCCCTAACGTTATTAACAAATTCACCATTTCTTTTAGATGTCCCTGAGTCAGAGAGTGGCTGCCCCGTCTCTGAGTACAGTGTGGAGATGACAGCCCCTGAAGAAGTGGTTTCTGAGGTGTACCACGGGGCTGAGCTGGAGTGCACCGTGAGCAGCCTCCTCCCCGGGGCCACCTACGGGTTCCGGGTGCGGGCGCTGAACGACGGCGGGGTACGTGCTGGCCCCGCGGGGCTGCTGCTGCTGCTGGCACTGCTGCTCCTCAGCAGGGCCAGGGCCAGCTGGGCAAAAGTGATTTATTAAAAGTACAGATATTGATCTAGTACTGATATCCAACTGTGACGGACAAAAACTCTCTAACAGTTTAAAGTTAGAAAGTGAATGTTTATTCGACACCGGGCAGTGTGTGGGATAACTCCCAAATCCACACCGCACCTTCCAGGTGATTACAGAGCCTTTTTATCCATCCAAGTATTGAATACCCAATATACAAATACATATTCATCATTCTGGTACATCCTATTCCCCGCTTTGTATGTTAATCACTCCAAAAGCCATTCAGCATGCGTGGTTTGTTCCTTGGAATGGGTTGGTGTCCCTTCCATGGGGAGGGGTCCCAAAATGAGGAAGTCAATGAAGTCTTCCTCATTCTGACCTTTCTACCTTTTCAATGCAAATATGACAAATGAACTCTTGGTAGAACTCCCATTCCTTGTCTTCAATTGGTTTCAGAACAGAGGAGGCCCACAATTGTCTTTTATTCCTAAAAGCTCTTTGTCAGTTTATATTCTTCATTATAAACCCAGCTAACTAAACATTGTGCTGACAAGCAATCAATTATCAGTTAACTACTAACTCCTAACTTCATCAAGGCCTACTCATTTATTATTATTATTTTAATTAACTCTAGTAAGGCTTATTCCTAACTAAAATCTTAGCACCTCTAAAATCTCTAAATTCCTTAAAGTTTACATTTCAAAAGGAAAACACTGTGATAAATGCTCAACTGGAACTTGAGAGGTTTTAGATTTAGCAGTTTTAGACCTGGGTGTCTTTTTAAAGGAGACTTCAGGTACTGATGTGATTTGATTGGCCAGGATCAGCTGCTCCCAAAGGTGCAAAATCCCTGCTAAAAGTTATAGCTGCTTGCAGGGAGGATTATCTTCATCCTCATTCTGTTGCATTTCCTGCTTTTTTGTTTTGAATCTAAAATGTATATAAACAAGAATTGCAATTTCACCTAGGTGGTGTGTTTTGAGGGAAACTCAAGCTCCTGGTGACTGTTTTGTTTTAATTTAAAAAAAAATCTGTGCTTTATAGATTCAATGAGATTTTTCTATTAAATTATTTCCTTGGAAGAAGTGCCTTCCCAAATACATCAGAAATTCTGTCTGATGACTATGGAGATCTGCAGAAAGATATTTTTCTTTCTCATTGAGGTTTGGGTTGTTTATGCCTGCCTTTATGTCATTCCAGTGGTGTTTAATATAAAGTCTCAACTAAATTACATGCATTGACATGTTTCTTCCCAGGAGATCTTGATGACAAACATAACACAAAAGTTTAAAGTTACTCGCTTACAGGGAGAAATTCTGTTAAAACTTAACGTGGCTATTAGAAAAATCTGCAAGACTCTTAAACAGTTTTGGTTTAAAAACACCCACTGTTTTGGTTTTGTGAAAAATTAATTAAATGCACATGGAAAGACTAGATTTGCCTGCTGGAGTGAAAGCCATTGCCTGCCTGGTAGCTTTGAATACGTGATGCTTTGCCTTTTTTTTGTTGTTGTTGTTGTTTTGCTTTGTTTTTGTTTGTTTGTTTTGGTTGCTGTTTTGTGGGTTTGGTTTGGAGGTTTGTTTTTTTTTTGGGGGGGGGGTTGGTTGGTTGGTTTTTTTGGTTCTTTTTTTTTTGGCAGAACAGTTGCAATGCATTTCTGGTTCCACCCTTTGTTAAATGAAAGGCTGGTTCTGCTTTGGCTGTGTTTTGCTACCAGGTACAAAATAGGGGAGGATGTCCTCTACCAGATTTTTCCTCAAAAACAGCAGAAGTCAATAAATGACATTTTTTGCCATGTACATGCTTTGTAACACAAAGCAATCAGTGTTGGCCTTTCTTCAATGGCAGATACTGACCCGTCTGCTGAAAAGTTTTCTGGGGGTTCATAATTTCTGTGTTGTTTGGCCTTTTTGTGGTGACTCATTTTTTTCATGCTCACTAGTACTGCATTACAAAATAAGTAAATATCAGTGTTTTTCCTCTAATTTCTTCCAAGTGAAGCTCCTTTGTTCTGGAGAACGATTTCTAATTAACTCAGGGATGTACTGAGCAAACTTCACTCTTCCACTCAGGAGGCCTCAGAAAGGCTGTTTCAGTGCTATCTCCTGTCCTCGCACTGCTGGCTGAAGCCAGGTTCCCAGACTGCTGAAAATTGGCTTTTTTTGTTTTGCTAATCTGCATTTAAATTATTCTCCTACCACGGGCTGAGAAGTTGTCTGAGCTGAGCTGCCCGTGGAGCGGAGCGTCCGCGGCGTGAGCGCAGCGTGTCCCTGCACGTTGTGCCAGGCTGGGGCTCCAGCACACCCTGTCCTCTTACAAGTAACTTGGGGTACATTTTTTTTATGTAAAAGAAGCTGGAAATGGACTCCATATGTGCTTTGGTCTTTGTGCTCCTCTTTGTATCCATGAGAAGCTGGTTTTGGTACATGAACATGCTGTGCTAAGGTAAGGCAGAGGGGCACAAGCTGTTCCTCAGTTACTGTGTGTTCATTCTCACTTTTGGGCAAATTGGAGGTGGTTTCTGCTTTCATGAGCACTTGCTGCCACACAGGAGGATGCACAAAGGATGCACATGCTCTGTGTTTGTTCCTGAGCTCACCTCACACTTCAACTCTGAGTCATTTGTGTGAGCTCATCCTGAGCTCTGGTGGTTGGTGCCGGGTGTTGAAAGCCCAGTCTGCCTTTGAGAAAGTTTAGTGTGCTGAAAAAGTTCATGTGCTGTTCTTGGAAAGCTCTTGAGGGCTTTGAGATGGGTGTACACCTGTATATTGGTGGTAATAATAATAATAATAATAATAATAATAATGTTAGTAGTATTATTATTGTTATAATAATAATTATTGTTCCTCTCTAGTACGGGCCGTATTCGGAGGCCACAGAGGTCACCACAGCAGCAGGACCACCAGGCCAGTGCAGAGCACCTTCCCTGTCCTTCCTGTCTGACACACGAGTCCTGGTCAGCTGGGAGGTGAGTCAGGTGCCCTGCTTGTTTGATTCTACCTTGCTTCCACTTTGCTCAACACAGAACTCAAAAGTGAGCTGGAGAGCTCTTCACTGGTCTGGAGCTATCTTTATATGCAAGGAAATCCTGTGTAGAAACTATGCTATTGTAGAGAAACATCTTCTGTACTTTGCTCTGAAGAATTACATGAAGTTGGTCATGAGTATTCCAGACCAGGATTCAGACCCAAGGCCTCCTGCACTGGCACCAGATGATGGAAGTGCTCTCTGCAAGCTTTTAGCACATCAGCATGTTCTCAGCTGGAATTATGAAGACAAATATTGGATTTTGGCTGAAACTGGAGTTTCTGAGATGGAATTAACTCTCCATAAATGCTTATAATGCAGGGCTTTTTCCCCCTGAAAAGTTGTTTGTATCTTTCCCAAATATTTACTTTTATTTCAGTTTGTGTGCATTCCTCCTCGGTTCTCCAGCATCTTAGGCATTGGGCTCAAGATAAGTGTTAGCTGAAGTGCTATGGGGATGACTGGTGCCATTAAAGAAAAAATGTTGTGTAATTAAGGCAGAAAAGAAAGGATGTTACTAGAAATAATACTGTGATGTGGTTCAGTGGGGCTGTAGTTCTGCCACAGACTTTCAGTGAAAATCTAGCAGCAATCCCAGCCCTGCTTCTATTGGGCTCCTCCCCAGAAAAATGCCCGTTGAGGAAGAAGTCACTGACATTCACAAGATGCTCAAATAAATTGTGCTAACATCTCTAGATACAAACATAATCTGCATTTAATTTAACAACAAACAGGTGTATTTGGTGCAGTTTGGGGCTGTTAATATTTTTTGCAGCTAGAAATTGCACTGAACTTTCAAATGTTGCCTTTTAATGGTCAGGGATTTGCTCTCCTCAGCCATAAAGCAGTGATTCTGGTAGGTTCTCTATTTATTTGAAGGATATGTTTGTTTAACTAAAAATGAAGCTGTGGTTTGCAGTGGTTATGTTTTCTTAAAGAGTGTCATTTTTTGGCTGATATGAATTAGAAAGAAAAACAGTGAAGCACTGTGGAGTGTGGCTGGAAGGCACACTGTGGTGCCCATTGTGATGCTTTTTTTTCACATGTTGTTCTGAAATCTGGCTTAGGAGCTCTGAATGGTCCTACTCAATGGTCCAGCTAGAAGCTCTGAGGCAGAGCCAGAGAAGCTCCTGTGCCTGTGCAGGGTGGTCACTGTTCTGTGCAGCAAGGCTCTGGATCCGTGCACTGGAAATTACATCTTGACTGCCAAAATCACAGAACCCGTGTAAGCCACACTTCTGCAGAGCAGGGCTTCCCTGAGCTGCTTCAGGCTGCACAGTACAGCTCAAGGTAGTTCTGTTAAAAACACTAGATATTTTGGTTTGGGAACTGTGCTGTTTTGCCTGTTTTGCCTAGCACATTCAGGCATTGAATTTGTGTTCCCCTAAATAAAGGGATTGCTGGAGATACGAGGAATGGGATAGGTTTAGATTAGATATTTGGAAGAAATTCTGTGTTGTGAAGGTATTGAGACACTAAAACAGTTTGCCCAGAGCAGCTGTGGTTGTCCCATCCCTAGAATTGTTCAAGGCCAGGTTGGAAGGGGCTTGGAGCAGCCTGGTCTGATGAAAGTGTCCTGCCCATGGCAGGGGTTGGAATGAGGTGATCTTGAATGTCCTTTTCAACCCAAACCATTTGATGATTCTGTGGTCCCATGGGAGTCTCATTGTGGATGTGAACGTGCCAGGATCACCCTCCCAGGTCCCATTCTGGCACTGATGGGTGACTTCCACGAGAGCCTCAGGCCAGCTCCTCCCTTCCTGAGTTGGTTCTTTTCTCAGCACATGAGTGACTGCTTCAGGCTCCAAGGCAAGTGCTTCCAGAGCTGTGTTTTGATCTCTCAGGTAGGCTGCACTAGATTGATGCTTTTTTTATGTTCTCCACTGCTGAGCTTCTGCCAAGCCAGTGGAGAGACAATTTATTCCTGAATGTCCTGATGGAAGGCAAAGTAGCTGTGTACACTCATTTCTCTGAATTTCAATCAGGTAATTTTTGTGCAGAATTGTCCTGTTTCAGTAACCTCTTAGGGAACATTAACTCAGTACATTTCTATTTGCAGCAGTAATGGTGTATTAATTTAAAAACAAGGGTGGTTGTTGGGCTTTTTTCCCATGTACTTCATTCCTTCCCCAGTGAAACACAGCGATCCGAAGTGCTCATTTCTGAACTGAACCACATAAATATTTGTGTTGCAGAGTCCTGAATGTTCTGGTACTGACATCTCTGAATACAGATTAGAGTGGGGAGAAGAGGAGGAATCTCTACAGCTTGCATATAGTGGCACAGAAACCTGCTTTGAAATCGGTGACTTGTCAGCAGCAACGCATTACTGCTGCAGGCTACAGGTATGGCAGGGCTGCATGCATTGCCCTCTGAGACCCAAACAGAGTTTCCTTCCACTGCTGTTCTTATTTTTATCATTAGTCCCCTCTGAAGTTATGTGCTCTGTAAGGCAGGTAGGAATGCACATTTATTTTAAACAGTACAGACTGATGTGCTACTTAAAAATTGCTCGTGTTGTTTCATTGCTTTTGGTGACAATGCTTGTAACAGCCACCTTGCCCTCTGAAACCAAAACAAAACGGTAATGGTGTAGAAAATTTTAAAAATATATAATTTTCTTCATGGTAAGGAGAGGTAAATAATACCCACCTCCCAACTGGATATTTAAGATTTCCCTGGCTTAAATAATGAATTCCAGCACCTGTTTAATTTATCAGGTAAGGCAAAGCAGCTGAGTAAATTCCTGTGTATACAGGAGATGGTACCTGCCAGAAAGTGAGTTCCCATCTTTGCCATTTTGTCTCTTAGATTTGTGAGACTGGATCTCATCTAGAATCTTTACATGATTTCTTTTTCTTTGATGTACTTTTCTCCTATATTTTCAGTAAAAAGTAGCAGTTAAAAAACATTTTGCATATCTGTGTGAAAGTAAAAAAACAGGGCTTTTCTTCTTTTTTCCTACTGATAAATAAATGGAAGGTAAAGCAATCTGGGAGTGAAGTAGAAATATTTTTCCTAAGATACTCTTCCACAAGATACATTTGTATGTGAAGACAGAACACCCTCAAATAACCCAGCCCAAATGCCCACCCAGCTGGTAACATGTGGACCACCCAGGGTAATTTCTTTGATCAAGGACAACATGCTTCTGTCGAGTGTTTCCTCCTTATATTTTTTTTTTTTTTTTTTACCAGGATATTGAATTTTTTTTTTTTTTTAGGGAAGAAGGTTTGGAGGAGCTGGCCTGCAGCCCAAGAACTCAGGCCCCACAGCTCCAAGGGCACTCAAATGTATTTTGTGTCTTGGCCAGAGCTGGTCTGTGCCTTGCTCTGGCACTGGGGGGGAAGGAGAACGAGGGAATGTGTGAGAGGCTGGGAGGTGTGAGCCAGAAAGTGCCTCTTGTTTCTGCAAGAGGGAGAGCATTCAGCATCTGCTGGGCAGGGAGGAGACTCTGAGACCACTGCTGTGGGGAGCCCGAGGAAAATTTTGTGCTAAAAATGGAGCCAGCCAGCTGTATGGCATCTTTGATTTCCAGTGGGTGCTTATTTCGAACTACCTGCCACAAAAATGTTGCACAAATCTACTCAGTTTTTAATGCAGCCAGTATAATTTAATCCATAGGCAGAAGTTACAGGAAAGGCACAACAGCAAGAAGATATTTTATTGAAGTCCATCAGTGACTCAGGTATTACTTTTTGAGAGCTTCATCCTCTGGATCTGATCCTCTGTATTATGTGAAGAAGAATGTCTTACAAGATACACTGTAATCTTCAAACAGTTACACAAAAATCTCCCCACAAAGTGGATGTAACAGGCAAAGAAAGAAAGCTAAATAGTGTTAGAAATATTAGTTTATTTTATCTGTTACCAGATTTAACAGAAAAATTTTCTTTTTAAAAATAAAGATCTCCCTAACCACATTTATTCAGCCTTCTAATAAACACACAGTATTGCTATCTCAATCTACAATAATTAAATAAAAAGGAGAATTGAGGAATCAGGCATATCTAACTGCAGGGCAGACAATTGTCGTTACCATTGCTCAAGTTTTTTCTTGCAATGAATATTCCTGAAAACAATAGTGGTTTCTGCAGAGGGAAATACTGTGTCATTTGGGGGTGGCAGGGGAAAGCAGCTAGGCAGCAAAGCCCCATCAGTTATGGTGATGAGATTGTTCAATAAAGCAGTTAAGAAACACCACTGACAATAAATGGCTTGGAGCAAGATACAAATGGTCAAACACTGGTTTAGAGGCAAGACAAATTATATCATTGGCAGAGCACAAAACAGGGCTCACTTCTAACAGCTCCAGGAGCGCTGCATTAAATAGAAGATTTCCCCGGAGCAGGATTTGTTTTGAAGGGCTTTTTAAAGGCTGACAAATGTAACTTTATTATCCCTTTCTTCAATTGAACAAAACGTCTCCTGGAAAAAAACAGAACATGGCTTTGTGTTTGTATTATGTAGAGTAGAAATAAGTTACTCACTGCTGTTAAGCATAGATTAGAAATCAAACAATTGTTTGATGTGTCCTGTCATTGCCCTCAGAGTCCTGCTGGCATCTTTGTGTAAGCCTGGATTTTTTGAATAATTGTAACCTGATGGGAGACTCTGGGCTAAGTTTTCCAAATGTAAAGGAAATGTGGAGGGTGCTGGGCAGCACTGAAGCTTTGTACTTTCTGGACTCCTGGTGTAGTTTCTCCTGCACCATGTTCTGTGAGCTGTCCCCATGCCTTGTGTGCTGGCAGGATGCTGGGCTGTGTCAGGAGGATCCAGGAAGGTGGTTTTGCCCATTACATGCCATTCCTGACAACCTGGAATGCTGCATCCACTGTGGCTCCAGGCTCCAGGCTGAAATAGGGATGTTCAGATGAGATACAAAGAAAAAAATACCACTGTGCAGGCAATTAAGGATCTAACAGTGGGCCAGAGGGGCTGGGCAAACTACATATGTGGAATTTGTCAAGACCCAACTGGGAAAAAAAGCCTGAGCAGCCTTGTCTGCACTGTCTGACCCTGGCTGGAGTTGCAGGTTGGACAGGATGGGTCCCACAGTCCCTTCCAGCCCTTGTGGGTTTGTGATCTCCTGAGGAGGTAACATTAGTCATTCCCTAGGCAATTCCAGTGCAATGGGTACAGCTTTTGCCACTGGCTGAGCATCAGCTGATAAAACCCCAGGCCTGTACAGCTGTGCAATGTTGGGCTTGCTAAGACAACAACCTCTAATTAATGGGCAGAAAAGGGCCAGGTTTTGAAACTTGGTTTCCTCTGGGATTCAGGATCTATGGTTTAGGATGAGAAGCTTGATAAATTGTTGGTCTCCTCTTTTGTGGGAGATAATCAACTGTGTGCTTTGGTAGTGGTTTGGTTGTGAATTATGACTTTTCCAGCTGTAATGATTCTGTGATTCTGGGGAAATGTTGAGTCATAGGTTTAATGCTGTATTCTTATTTCAGAAGCTTTTTGGCATTAAATTAGTTATCCACTTTCCAAATTAGGGACCAGGGTTGTTTTAATGAGCCAAATATCCCCTATCTTTAGGGATATTTTGCTTGCATAAAACATCTGTTGGGCCATGCTGCAGTGTACTGGGTGGCTCAGTAATGTCACCTGTCACTGGCAGCATGACTGTGGCATTTTCCCTTACCAACCAAAGTTTGCCACTGATAAAGAGGGAAAAGGGAAATATTCTCCATTTTTTTTGAGACATTCCTGAGTGACAAAGGAAGATGCTAATACTCCCTAGGATAGCAGAGGTATGAGTCGCGCTTTAGAGAGGAAGCCAGCAGTGCATGTCCTCTGAAGAATTCATGCACCTCTTCCAGGCTGCACAGCTCATCCTTATGAACTTGATAGACATGTGAAGGAGAGCACTGGTAAATGTGTTTTGTTTTCACACGCAGGCCATGAACCAGGCTGGAGCTGGCCCCTACAGCGAGCTGGTGACCTGCAGAACCCCCGCGGCCGTGCCCGGCGCCGTCTGCGCCCTGTCCGTGCTGGAGGACGAGCACGTGGCTGCCTGCCAGCCCTCACCCTCCGTGTGCCTTGTGCTGGGCTGGGAAGAGCCCAGCAACAACGGGGCTGAGATCACATCCTACAACATCGACCTGGGAGATGTCAGCATCCCCGTGGGCAACGTGACCAGCCACGTCATCGAGGGCTTGCTGCCCGAGACCTCGTACCGGTGAGTGCAGCACGCAGCTCACACAGCTCAGTTTTGTCAGAATCTGAGCTATTGATGATTCCCAGATTGTAGAAAGTCTCTGTCTTTCTGCCCCGCTGCCAAAGCAGAAGCCATAATTGGTCTGTGCTGGTTTCCAGGTTGTTTATTCTGTTGATCTCTCACATGTTCTGCTGCCCTGCCCAGCTCTGTCCTGCAGGGCAGCGTGTGGGGCTCTGCCCTCAGTGGGATGTGACAAACATTAAATACCAGAAACTCCCTGGGCTGGATTTACAAGAACGTGCCAATATCTGTCACCTATGTTGAACAGTGTGTCCCCAGCCTGAACCAACAGGAAAATGCCAACACCACAGCGAGACATGGAGGGCATGAAGAAGGAGAAAAAGGACAAGGCACACCAAATTTACTCCAGCTTGTCCCCTTTGGACCCCTAATTTAGAATCCTAAAATTTTACTTTTGCACCCATGCCACACTTAATTATTACTGATATCAAACACTCAGAGCTTGTAATTCATCCTGTAAGATTGAAAACTCTTTTCCATGGGCAGAGATCACAGCCAGTGTCTCTGGGGGCTCTGTCCAGGGGGGTTCCTGAGCCCTGCCAGGGTCCCAGACCTGCCAGGGCAGCCAGAGGGAAGCCCTGGATTCCCACAAGCTTCACAAGGGAAATGCTCCTGGCGTGGAGAGAGCCTTGAAATGCAAACCTGCAACCCCAGCAACCAGCCTAGGAGCACAGGAATCTGCAGTCATTCCTAAGTGGAATGGTTTGTGGTAGTTCGTGTTCAAATGTTGTTTTCTCCCACCTTTTTTCCTCATTTCCCTCCTCTCCTTGCATCATCTCTGACCTCTCCTCCTTTTTGAGTTGCTCTTCTAAGGTCAGGTTACAGTGGTAATAATAAATTTAAAAATAAATAAATTTTAAAAATAAGAAATCATTAAAATGACAGTGTTACATCTCATGGTTTTTTTCAGCTACTTTGAAGTACTGTTCCAAGGGATTAAATTATTAAGTTATTGATCTCTGAGCAGGGTTAGCAATTTTCACACAATGAACTTTTATTTGTATAGCTACAGCTATATTTTGTCTCTGCTATATGGAGATTAATGAAAACATGATCTGAATTTAAATTTAAAAATTTAAAATTTATATTACTTCAGAGTCTAAATTGCTAAGTGGCATTGCCAAAATTTTATTAGTTTAATGTTCAGGCTTATATGTTTTCTCCTTAATTGCTAATTAAGAAAGAAAAATGATTCCATGCAGGCAATGAACACCAATACAACAGAATATGTGACAAAAGAAATTCTATTGTAAGTACTGTTCTAATAAATACCTAAATTTGATCACAGAGTTGCACAGAGTTGTAAAATAAGATGTCATAGACTTCCTGTAACGTTTTTCTTTTTTTTTTTTTTTTTACTTTGTATTCAAGGTCACAGCCCTACAGGTCTTGAATGATAAGCTCGTAGTTCAGATTTTATCCTGCACTCAAGAAAAGAGAACTTGTAGCAAGGATACAAATACACAGACTAGAAGTTATTTAAAGTGAGGAGCACACATTGCTTGTTCACAGATCATTCATGTAAAGCAGAAGAGTTTGTTTGTGGATTGGTCACCCAGCTGTGGAAATGCATCATCTTTGGGCAATCTCATATTCCCTGGTTTCTCCTCAAATATTTGTTCAACTAAGACTCAAAAAAGCTGAAAAGGGAACTTTAAGCAACTCACTCAAAAGAGAATGTGCCATTCAAATTCTTCACCAAAGTCTTACTTCAGTCTCTTTTTTAGCTGGTTCTTGATTGTCTACAGCTTCCTTAAGGGAAATATCTTATTCAAGGCTTAGAAACAGAGATTGGAATGATATTTTTTGAATTCTTGTTCCATTAATTTGTAAAAAGCATCATATTAAATCACATAGTTTTAGTCAAGGATTTGTCCTGTCATTGGTCCAAATGAAGCAGCCCAAGCCACAAGCATTAACTGTTCTAAATATAGTTATATGACTAAGTTCCTACTTAAAAAAACCCACTTGAAGCAACACAGACCAGTGGATGGCTGATCAGAAGTAATAATGCAGGAAAGCTCTTTTGTTGAACGAGACAGAGAAAGAAACCCCAATTCTTACATCTCATTTCTGTAAGGGAAGACAAGTTACTGCAGTTGGATTGCAAATGCACCTCATCAACAGTTTGAAGTATTATTTTTATAATCAGAAATAGATTTGATCATTAACTTTTTCACTGATATTTTTTCTTCAAGCATATCTTGACACCTGTCTTTGATCAGGGAATGTCTGCCCTGATAAATCCTTAAGGAACAGGATTATCAGGCTCTGTGCTAAACACTGGTACGTTTTCTGCCCTCCCTGGCTGAATCAGAAGAATGTTTCAGAACATCACTGATCTAATTCTCTACATTTCTCCACTGATGAGTTGTCTTTTTGTGTCAGTTTTGTTTAACACAACTTACTCTTCTCAAGTGTTTATTCCCTGCTGTGTTTAAAAACAGTGAACATATTTTTTCCTAGACTAAACAAGCCAAGTACTACTTGTTTGAGGCTCTGAACTCCCTTGCCAAAGTTTCAGCAGAATTTGAAGTAAATCAGCAGAAGGTTTATATGTTTCAGTTGAGTTGGAATTCCACTATCAATGTTTTTGGTTATGAGAAACCAAAATTGAAATCAGATCTTGGTTATTAGGAATCCAGCAAGTCCAAAATTGGAAATTTAAATTGTTTTGGATTTGGGGGTGATTGTGAAAGCCTGTCCATGTGGGCCCACCCTGCTAGCTTGGGTCTGGCACTGCTTTGCTTCCAGCTTTTCTGTGGGAATGGCCATAAGAGGGGCAGCCCAAGAGCACACAAGGGAACTCCAACTCTGCAGAGCTGGGCTCCGGGCTGACAAGTTGGGTGCTTTGTGTCTTAGCAGCAAATCCAACCAGCACCCCATGAGAAGGATTTCCATCCCAAAATGCATTTAGGGCAGGAGGAAGTGGAAGATGCCTCTGTCACACTGCGAGTGGCCATGGTAGGGTTGAGTCAAGAGGACTGCAGCTCACACTCAGCCCAGCTCTGCTGCTGCAGGGAGCAGATGCCTCCCCAAAGCTCTGTGTAAACATCCTGGCTTGTGGGCAGCTGCAGAAATATGTCTGAGTTCTGCAGTCTCTCTGCTTTATTGACATAGCCACGAAGCTCTGGAAACTCAGATTATAGGGTAATATACTTGGCCTGGTTTTCTGTGAGCTGATGTAACTAGGAGTGAGTTAATAAATATTCCACAATAAATAAGTATTCAACAGTCACAGAAACACCAATTTTCTATTACAGTCTGTTCCCAAGCTTCGCTTAACACATTCCATAGATAATTGTGTTCTGCTTTTGAGATACTTCACTGCAAAACAACTTCCAATTTTTAAGGATGCTTCTTCTCTGAAGTTACACAGTGTACAGAAATATATAGTAGCATTGTTAAATTTCAATAGCAACACTTAATTTGGTTTAGGAATAAAAATTCTATAAATATTTTGGATTTTTAAACTGTATCAAGTGAAGGTTGGGTTGGACTTGATGCTCTTGAAGGTCTCTTCCAGCCTAGTCATTCTGTGAATTCTGAAAGATCATCCAAGATCGAGAGAAAAATTCACGTGGATGCTCAAATTAGCAAAGTTTAAGCAGGCTATAAAACAATATCTATTTCAGGGTGTCAAGCTAAGTTTTCTTCCAGGAGTCTTGAGTGGGGATTTGTGGGGCAGTGGGTGATTGCTGTTCATCATTCCAGGCTGCTGCTGATGGTGGAGGATGCTGCTTCCCCTCCCCTTTGGAAGTCCATGGGCATTTTAACTCCCACAGGTTTCCACAGGCACATGTATTGCAACTGGTGGCATTCCTCTTATGGGAATGAGGGAATCAAAGTCTTCTCATGTCAGACTCTAAAATTAATTCAAAAGTTGGTTTTCCAGTTTGTTGGAATACTATACAAAGGATTTTGTGACCAATCTGAAAATAGCATCCTGTTTAGTGTGTTTATTTCCCTGGGTCAAGAATCTTTTAAGAGAGAATGGTCTGTTAAAGATCATTTTGTGGTTTCTCAATTTGCCTAGTCTGATTTATTATTTTTCTTTCTAAATGTTTAAAAGTTGTAGTGGGAAAATGTGAGAATGAATACAAATATTATTGGTACAGGGTCTGCAGAATTAGGCAGTGTTCCCAAATACAGTCTTTATATTTTCAAAAAACTTGTTGTCAAATTGTGATTGTCAGATTGTTAAACCATCTTTCTTTCCAAGAGATTGTTTGGGGTATTTTCACTTAGAAACCATTAGTGGAAGAGTTGAAAGGAATTCAGGAAGTGCTTTTACTGCAAATATTTCTACTTGTCTGTACTATACTTTTACAGGAAAATAGAGTTGATTTTCCCCAGTACCAGTCCTGTAAACAGGAATTGGTTTCCAGTTAATTGTGGATATTCTCTTGCCCACCCTGGCTGGAAAAGCTCACTGTCACAGGCTGGGGCAGGGACACTGAAAAGCAGCTGAGCAGGAGCAGAGATGGGGCAGTACAAGGTGCTCTCCCATCACCATCTGCTCTTCCCCCTTCTCCATGTGGTCCTTTCTCCCTTTTCTCTTTCCCTTCTTCCTCCTCCCCTTCCCTTTTGACTTGCCAAGGCCTGATCCCCATTGAGCAGACACTGCTGGGTTTCAGAGGGATGTGACACCAGGGTTTGGGTTGCACTGCCACGTGCACAGGAAGCACAAAATTAGTTGTTTGTATGTGTCTGATGAAGTTCAGGCCCTGGGAATGATAGTGGCAATTTACAGAGCTTTATGGTGGTGCAATCAGCAGAAAAGAGTGGCCACAACAGCCATGTTAGAGTTGAATAAATCAATTCCTGCTTTCCCAGTGTCACAGTTCATTTGTAAAGATGCTTGTCTCTATTTTAAAGCTTAAGAGTTTCCATCAGTCTTACTGTGCTCCAGAGTCAGGAGGGGAGTGTGTGTGTGCATATTCGTGTGATTCAGAAGGGGGGAGCAAGAACTCTGTGCAGCAGAGGAAAGCAAGAAGAAAAAAATGAATGAAGAGACACATTTTTTGCCTTGTGCCAATAGCTGGCAAAAGTAAGACAAGGAAGTGCAGGTTTCTGTGCATGCATATAGCTTATAAGTGTGATATTGGAGAGAGATTGATTTCACTGCATGTTGTCAGGTGTGGTAGCTGCCAGCTGGAAACCAGCTGAGGTTACAATGCTTGAGGAGAGGAGAGGCTTTGTTGTTACTGGGACTTTTAAGTAATACCAAGCAAAACAAAAGGATATATACTCTAGAGCATGCTGCTGTAGTCAACCTGCAAAAGCAGTAGTAGCATTTTGTAATACAGCTGTTACTGTTAAGTGCACATGCTAATGGAGAGCTTGCTAGAATCCAGTGAAAATTCAGGCAGGCTTTGGTTTTTTTAATTGGAAATACCATTAAATATTTATGATAATGACTCTTAAATGTAAAGCAAAACAGTTGCATAATATGAAGTAAGATCAATGCTTATATTAATTACACTTCTTCAGATACTAGGAAAGCATTTTGTTCTTTCTATGTCAAATGCTTGCAAGCAGCAGTTGAAGAGGGGGCTCCCTCTAGATCTTTGTGCCATCTCCACCCTTAGGGAAGAAGAGGGGGAATGTAATATTATAAAGTGGTCAGGATGCATTTCCTCAAGCCAGAAGGAAGGTTAAAGGGGAAATGCAGCTCCACACCAAGCAATATATTACCCCTGTTAATGGCTGGGTCAATAAGCAGAGTTTTAAGCATACATTTGCATATAATTGTATACACACTACATTCTCAGTGTGCAGTGGCTTTAGCTGACTAACCAATAGATCAGACTTCATTATTTTGCAATATGTTTATTAACAGTGTAGCCTTTTATGTTCTTGAAAGACAGAAAATACAGTTTTGGGTGTTTTTTCCAATGGGGAATACTCTCTGGAGAGGCTTTTTCCCTATCCCTTTAACATTCTCCTTTCCTGATGGTAGAGCTGAAAACTTGCTGTTGAAAGCAAAGTAATTTTTCATACGTTGTTTGTGTGAACTTGCATCACTTCGTGTTCTTCAGTCAAAATAAGTAGCTTTGCCAAGCAAAGACAGTTCTTGTAAAGAGTCTTTACCCATGAGAAAACACAAGGCTGCTGTGTACAGGATTTCCAAAGTAAATGGCATCTCTCCAGCTAACGAAACTCAGCTCAACTATCTTAAACTTAATTAGTTTTCTCCATCCTGATTTTTCATATTTAGTCTTTGATTTAACAAACTTCTTAAACCTTTCAGGCTCATCTGTAGCAATATTTCTATTTACACAGTCCTCAAAATTGTTTGGAAATAGAAATTTCCCACTTTTGTTATGGTGTTGTTGAAGTTAATACCATAGTCAAAGACTCCTTACTTATCTTAGTGATAGACTAAGGTGCAGACAGATAAGAGAAAATCGAAAAAGCAGAAAGCAGGGGTCATTATCTTAAGAATTAAATGGAAGTTAAAAGACTAGCTCAGTCTTAAGAACAAATTCCAGCTGCTGTGACCAGGCAAGTGGTCTGCTTTTCTTCTTGATGTCTTCAAGTGGCTCAAGGGCCATTGTCCATCTTGTGAGGGCGACTTGGGTCCAGCATTTATTTGATCTAATGGATAGTTCACTGGCAGTTTACATTTCTGCAGTTTGTGGCAATGTAGGAGGTTTGTGGATTTAACCTTCTTCATTAGTTCCTCTCAGCAGAGTTTTCTGTGCTTAAATAATCTGCTTTTTGTGACAATGACAGAACACTGTCTTTGGGGTGTTTGCCAACATGGGGATGGGTTTCATGACACTGACCCCTGTGCTTTCCCTGAATGATTTCACCTAAATTACTCCACAATCTTTGTTGGACAACCAGAACACACTTACGCTTTTTATTTACTCATGGTTGGGCACTTGACGTTTTCCAGGCTGTGCTTGTCCTGTGCTGCTGCCCCTTGTCCCGAGCTGTCACCAGGTCCTGGGACCCAAACCTTCCCCTCTGCCTTGCTGCATTTCTGACATTTTCACTGCACTTCTTACAGTCTAAGCAGGATGATCCCTGTTGTGCTGACAGAACCTTCCAGGGTGCCACAAACAGCCCTGGGAGCTGGGGTGGCCAGGGATGGAGCAGGCAGCCCCAGAAGGCTCTCCTGCCCCGTGGGACGTGTTCATATCAAGAAAACACTTCATTTAACACTCATGTTCCTGCTGTTTGTTTCAGGATCAGGATCCAGGCTGTCAATGAAATTGGAGCTGGACCTTTTAGCCACTTTATTAAAGCAAAAACCAGGCCATTGCCACCCTTACCTCCACGGCTGGAGTGTGCTGCAGCAGGGCCTCAGAGCCTGAAGCTGAAGTGGGGAGACAGCAGCTCCAAGCTTCACTCTGCTGATGACATGGTCTACATCTTGCAGATAGAGGACAGAAATAAAAGGTAAGAGAGATGAATCTTTTCCTTGTGCAAGTGAAAAAGAATTCTGATTCATCATAATGCAGTTGTGAGTGAAAGAAAAATTCTGTTTTCCTGATTGCTTCATGCCTACCACTATGTACAAAATACTGTTTTTAATAGGCATTCTGTGCCTGTAGTCTGAGCAGGTTATGCAGTAAAGCTGTGAGTGATACAGAATCATGGAATCATTAAGGCTGGAAAAAACGTCTAAATTGCTGAGTCCAACCATTAACCTAACACTGCCAGGTCTAACAGAAATCAATCCTGTACTGGTGACATTTCAGCAAAACCCTCGCCTCTCTGCCAGTAAATTTAAAATCAAGTTTCATGGCCACAGTGCTTTATCTCTTGGAATATATGAAATAAAGATACTGCACCCAGCTTGCTGTGTTTATTCATAAAGCCAGATGTATTCACAAATCAGATGTCTAGGTAAGGTAAAACTGAGCAGAACAATGTCTTTTGGGCAACCTGGTGGTCTTGATTTTATGGATGCAATGTTGTACAGCATTAAAAAATACAAGCTTGGCATCAGCTTGGTAGCTCCACAATAATTTTGAAATAAGGTGTGCAAGAAAAAAATATATTTGTTTAAATTAAACAGTCAGTGCTAAGCAAAAACTGTCTTCCCATGTGAGCTTTGTATGAGAAGATTTGCTAATGTATATCCAAAGTTGTGATGAGATATATTCAATTAAAAAAGGGAAGGAAAGAAAGACAATATGCAAGTAATGCCTAACAGTCTGAGCTCTTCAATGAATAAATATCATAGATGGTTCATAATTTACTAAGAAACACTCTCAACTACTTCAATTAGCTAAAATAAGTGACTTATCGAGTACATAATCCTTAGAGACCTTCAGCACAGATCATAATTTGATGTAAATTAGCACAGTTCCTTTAATTCAAATAGAGCTATGCTGAGTGTATGCCAGCTGAAGATCTGGCCCAAAAGCTCTAATTTTAAGTAATAAAACCACCATGAATAATGCCTTAATACCCCTCAGTATTTCAACTGTACTGATGGAGAGTGGGTACACTGTATTAATCCTGAGAGGTGTCCAATGAATATAAATACCCATTTGAAAGTCTGACTGGTGAAAACAGTTCCCTCAGAGTGCAGTGATGCTTGGCAGGAGCCCATCACCTGCAGCACCCTGGGATTCAGTCAGCTCTAAAGACACATCCAGCAGGCTGCTTTGCTTTGCTTTCATGTAGCACTGCAGGTAGGATGGTGAAGACCTGTAAATTGTTTTTAACCTGTCTTTATCCTGGGGAAAATAGGAAGTTTGCTTGTAAGAATAAAATGTTACCTCGCAGCAGGCAAGGAAGGGATTTTTCCCCCTTGCTTTGGCACACAGCTTTGGCATGATCCTTTGCTTTTGCCAAGCTTTTTCCACTGCAAATGGTCTCTTATGAGCTTTTAATTGGGAGCCATTTGGACTTGATACTCTGCTGGATCTTCTTAGCTGTGAATTTGACTTAGAGTCCACATGAGCTCCCAGAGATGCAGAGAAATTGCTGCTTTACATTGTGCTGTCTGCTCCTGCTTGAACTGAGCCATTCTGTGAAATTCCTCCTTTTGGTGGTTGGGTTTGGAGCAACTAGCCCACATAATTCCTGAAATCAGCCAGGGGTGGTGAATCCATCCTGGTGTGGGCACAGCAGAGGAGTGGATGGTGCACTGTTGTGTGTGAGAGCAGCTGGAGCTGGCATGTCCTGGCCATAAGATCTGTTTATTTGTTCTCTTTTTGCTTTCCCTTGTGTGCACTGATGACAGTGGGAGATGCCCCTGCAAAGCCCAGCTCTGTACATCCAGGAGAGCTGTCATCCCTGCTGAGCAGGGAAGGACAGCTCACACAGGAGCTGGTGGAGGCAGCAGATGCTTACAGAGGGAGAAGTCTTCCCTGAGATTATTCCCATTAATTAAACTCTCCTGGGACTGAGGGGTTGCTCACCCCCTGTGTGTGCTTGGGGAAAATACTGGAGTGCAGCTCTTTGAGCATCACTGGCCTCTTCAGGTACACAGTAAACTGTGCACATGTGAGGGAGCAATTCAATAGGATATTTTAGCTGGAAGGGACCTGCAGTCATGCCTGGCCAGTTCAGTGCTGGTCAAGTTAGAGTGTTGTTAATGGCATTGTCCAAATGCCTCTGAATAGCTGACAGGCCTGGGACTGACCAGCCCTCTAGGAAGCCAAACTCTGGTGGGAAAATGACACAAAATAAATAACCTAGAATGATGTTTTGGGGTATTTTATGGTTTGAAAGAGTTGTAGGAAGGGGTTATGATGTCCCATCTGTTGGGAGAAGAGATAGTATTTGATTCAGGGAAAGAGATTATGGTTTAAAACATGGATAACTGAGAAGTGACCTCTGTCATATCCCTGGTCTTCCAGAGAGCATTGTTATTATATTCCCTGAGATATGTGAAATTACTGATAACAGCTTTATATTGAAATCCCTCAATTCAGTATTACAATTTTCCTTTCTTTGGTTTAAAATAGAAGTTACCTTTAAAATGCTGTTGAAACGTTTTCACAAGCAGAAATATAAAGATGAGCGAGTTCTTTTAAGAAAAGGAAATAATCAGTAAGTCCCATCCTGACCCAATAGCTTTAATGGCCTTTTGGTAAAGACAGCTCTGGCTTTATGTAATGATAGTCAGCCAGTGCTCTCCAGTGTGTCCTGGCCATTAAGGAGTGTTTTCAACTTTTCCTTGCTGTAATGAGGTGTAACAGACCAGTTGTTGGAGACCAAATGTTTCATTGATTGCAAGACCTGTGAAGCAAAATACTTGGAAATCTTCTGGCAGTGATTAGTGTAAGGGCTTGAAGAGGTGTGCACATCAGAGGTGTACCTGTGTTAGCTCCCATTAGCTCTTCGGGGTGTGACATTTAGGAAGATGAAATTAGCATCACTTGTCCTTTCAATTATGGGTAGCACTGAGTGGAAATGAAGAAAAATCTGTTTCTGGAAAGCTCAGTACATAGAAACGTTAGTTGAGAGTAAGTGACCTTTATGTAAGGAGGACTATGAAATTCCTTTCTTTTTTAAATAAACTATCAGTTGTGACTTCATTTTCTAATTGTGGTAATGTGAAGAAATTTATGTTAATCAAATTGCACTACTTTCCAGAATACTGTGGATTTTTTGTCTTCTGTGGAGCAAGCAAACCTAATTAATGTGTTTTGGTTTTTTTTCTGCTGTACTGGTAATTAATCTTTAGTTGTTCCCACAACTAATTGCACCTCTTAGTGTCTTAAAATGCTCACAATATCCAGTCTGAAAGGGAGAATTAGCAAGTAAATTAAGAGTGGGTCATTTATCAGCTGCTTGTGTTTATTTTAGATGACTGTATGTTGCAGCTGAGGTAAATTGTGTGATTTTTATGTGTGTAGAGAATCACAATCAATATAAACACATATAATTACATTTTAAGGGAGAGACATTGGTAAGGTTGACCAAGGAACATCCTAAACATATTCATTACAAATATAATGTGAGGATCATTGACAATTGTCCCATGCTTCTATTGTCTTCAGTTGGTGTGGTTGAATATATGAGTCTTAACCTGGGTGTTTGCTCTGCTGTAACTTGAAGGTAGAATAGAAACACAGAGGGATGAGCTGCTGAATGTGCTGCCCTTGCCTCATGACTTCTGCATAATCATCCCCTGGTTACTGCAAGTTTCAGGCAGGCTAATTAAAAAATTGTTTACACTCCTGATTTGATCAAGACAATTTACACCCATTTTAACAGCAATTACTGTTATGTGTCAGTCCTACTGGCTTGTGAAATTCTATTAAAATACAAAATCAAATAAGTTAACATATCTTTGTGAAAACCTGCAGGAAAAAATAATTCTCATATTGGGTAAAACAGTGATAAAAGGAAATTAAGCATGAGCACCAAGACAGATGGCATGCTACAGTTTCCACTGCAAGCCTGGCTAGATAGAAAGTTAATGTTCAGGAAAGTTTTCAAGCTAACCTGTGTTCATATTGCTGCATTGTGTAGGTGAGTATTGCTATTAATAATACTGATATTCATATTAGCAGCATTCTGACCAGATACCTTGGGCTTTGCAAATGAAAAAGAAGAGGGAGAACTGTTGCCAAGTGTGAGAAGCTTAACTTGCTAATGCATTTTATCTTTTTTCCTGGAAGCAGGAGTAAACTAACATTTGTAGTAGGTGTGAGCTAACTGTATGTGTGTTATTATTTGGAACAAAGTGAATCCTCAAAAAACACGTTAAACATGTGAGATGGGGTGTTTCAGCTGTGAGGAAGCTGGCAAGACACAGAGTAAGATGCTACTCCATCAGTATATTCAAAATATCCCTGTTTTGGTAAGAAATAAGATTTTCTCCTTTATCTGTGCACATCTGCAGGTACTCCAGACTTCATGGGTAACTGAATATTCCAGACAGCAGATCAAAAATAAGAGCAGCATCTAGACCCAAGGTTGTCAATGTAATAAACTATTTTCTGCACATCTGTAACAACCTTATAAGGGAATTAAAGCCTTGATTAGAGTAATGACTCTAATATTTGATCTCTAAAGTGTAATGGAGGCTCAGCTTAGTGCAGCAGGATCACATTGGCCAATTTTCCAGGATTTTTAGGGTCCAGCTTTGTTTTGCTGATGTTGGTGAAGCAGAGACTGAGCCTGGCTTCCTTCTCCAGCTCTGCCCAGATTCCTGGGGCTGTCCCAGCAGCAGCTTGGACACCCATGTGCTCAGTGAGCATCATTTGAAGGTCCCTAAACTCTGTTAAAACTCTGGGAAAATGACTCTAATGCTGCACAGGGAAGATAAAACACATGTAGGAGATGTAAGAATATTGGATTGTTGCTCTGAACTCTTCTCTTTCGGTTTTAAGTTCACTCTTATTTATATCTGGTGTTGGTTATTGACAAGATGTTGTTGCTGCCTCATCATTTACTTTTTCCTGACTGTGTAATTTCAAGAAGCCATTGGGTGCTGTCCCTGATTTCTCCCACATTTTCCATTCAAATGCTGTAAATTCCCATTTAAGCTGTGCTCAGTATTGTCCTCCCTGCCTGTTCCTTGTCCCCCAGATGTGGATACTCACAGGAATCTTCAGGCAGGCACTTGGCTGCTCTATCTTCCATTCCTGTTGAATGTGCCCAGATGCTCCTTGCAAAAAAAGCAATTTTTTTTGTTGTGGAGGAGCTGAAATACTTCAACTCTCAAGAATTCCAGACATCTGACGAGTGACCGTCTGTTGTAAATATATACAAACTCAAATTCAGCAGCAGATGAAAGATAATCTAGTAGAAACAGGCTAAAAATCAGAATGAATCAGAAATGAAAAAACCTGTCTGTTGACCTTACTCCTGCATCTCTGAATTAGATGGTTTTGAAGCTTTGCTTTCCTTGTTGCCACCTACAGTACAGGGAGCTGCTGGTGGAGAGAGAAAATCCCATAAATCAGTGAGTCTCTGATAATGTTCTTCAACCAAATTAGAGAAACAGTCTAAGAAAGTAGGTGGGGCAGTAAATGTGTAACTAATGTGATGTAGCATTAATAATATTCAAAGAGCTGTTGGTTTGTGAAATTCTTGTAGTTCAGTTTCTAATTAGGCAGTTGCCTTTGTGTGCTGGTGTGAAGCCTCTGGTCACCAGGTTGGACTGTGAGTTAATGATTTCTCTCCAGCCGAAATCCTGACATCTGACCACATATTTTGAGAGAAAATAACAGAATCATTCAAGGCTCACTCAGCCTTTGTGCCTCCCCCCAAGATTGCCATCTTACTTAGTACCATACAGTAGAATTTCTTGCAAATGAAATTCTTGCAAGAGCCAACAGGTTACCAAAATATAAACAAAACCCAAGAGTTTGAAAGGGAACCTACTGCTCAAAATGTGCTAGAAATTAATGAGCAGAGGTAGAGCAAGTACATTCATACTCTTCTGCTTGACTGGAAGTGACTGAAGTGGAGGAAACAAAATAGCTGTGACATGCAAAATACTTCCAAGAAAATCTTCACTGGGAATAGAAGGGTATTGATGAAAAACTAACAGCAGTGGTGTCTCCCTAACAATTGCTGTAGAACACAATGTTCTCTCTCCTCTGCTGTGTGCAGGTAAATGAATAATCTGTGGCTGATGTGAGAATGTTTGGGAAGGGAGAATTGGGATCACTCTGTGAGGTGAGGGAGAAGTCGCTTCTGGGGGAGAAGTAGTTTCTCCATCCCTGGAGAAAGTTGCTTTCTTTTTGGTATCTGCTGTTAATTTAGTGGAGAGGAGAGGCAACACTGCAGCATGGAAAATTAGAATAAATCAGGTTTAATTGTGGATGGTGCAAACTTAAAAAAAAAATACAGTTGTATTGAGAATGCCAGTAACCAGAGAGGCTGAATGTTTTCAGAGGCAGGGTGGCAGATGAGGTATGTAAGTTACTGTCTTTTGAATTCAACTGGGCAAACCTCTGAGATTTGAAAACATCCTGTTTTGAAGAAGATGAGAGGGAGATAGAGAATAGGGAAGGTTTCCATACACAGATTAAGTCAATATTTCAATGCATAAGATATTTAAGTCCTTGCAAACAAGCTCAGAGCTGACTCGTTCTTGAGGCAATGTATAGAATTAGGCCTGGATGAAGCACAGTGAGAGATAACAGACTTGCCAAGGAGGCAGAGGTACACAGACCTCATGTTCAAATGTTCTTTTTAAAATAGATTTAGATTTTAAAAATGAAATTGCAATAATAAGAACGTGTTGCCTCAGTTTAGATAGTTTTTAACGATCTTAATAGTGTATGCTGCCTCACAGTAGCAATGTGTAGTTACACTGACTCAACTCTAAATTCATTGTGGTCCTCCAGCAGAAAGCCCAGAAGAGTGAAAAAAGACTGCTTCATACCTATAGCCACCTATATCAATTAACTACAATATTTTTTAAGATAACAGAAATAATCCTGGAGGATTAAGATATGCCTACTTTACACATGAGGAAAATAGTACCTTAACAGAAAATCACAAGTATTTTGAAGTTAGCATTTATCTTCATTACATGCCTTACATCATGATCTATATCTTCATACACAATTACAAAGCATTAGTGTCACAATGAAGCCCTCTTTCTTCAGAGATGGTCAAATCTCAGAAGTTTTCAGTGTGCTTGCTGTGGTGCAAGTTTCTCTGTAACAGTTCTTGCTTTCATGACAGATGTTTTTAGAGACAGAGAAGCAGAAATGAGTGGAGATGGGAACTGGATGGGAGTATTGGTATTAACTGAACTGGGAGTATTAGTCCAGTTCCCAAATGACAGAAGGAACTCAAATGTTTTTCCAGCTCACTTCCTCAGTGTTAGGAAGTGTTAGTGACCTTTGTCATATCCAGAAGGTGAAAATGTCATTTGAGTCATTGGAATTGGCCATATGAATGACTATAAATGTGCCTTAGGCCCAACCTGGAGCGAGGCTTTGCTTGTCTGCTAGCTGGGAAGATAAATTTATCCTGCCTTGCTCACCTAACTCCACAAATGATTGCAAAGAGGTCATTAGTCTAAAGTAGGCATTGGATCTTTTTTGCTCTCTGTCGTTCTTGGATCAGGGTCAGAGACAAATCTCTACACTGAGTAGTACAGTGGTTTCTGAGCCAGCTGCCTGATTGAGCTGCAAGAAGGGCAGAGGGAGAGTGTCTTGTCTCTTGAGCCTCAATGCTGTCCTGAGTATGTGTTCTTTGCTCATCACGCAGTAGATCTCAAGGAATTTTATTCCGTGAGCACAGGTTTGTGTCAGTCTTTTGAAATATGCTGTGGCTGCTTACCTGAGCCTCAGAAATGTGGAATAGCAGGGAGACCTTAAACTGGGTAAGCATAAGGTTTGGAAAACAATTCTTTGGAAACTGGCTCTAAATTCTCCTCCTAAAAACTTGTGGGCACAGATCTTTAGTTTCCTATCAAAGTGTGGGTCTCACTAAAACTCGCTAGTAAGTCACATTAATCGTCAGAGTACATTTCTAGCAATTTGAATTACCTGACTATTTCCTTTTATTACAGATGATTCTTGATCTCTGTTTGTACTTACGTGGGTTGCAATCACAACGTAATACAAATTGATTTCTGTCCCTGAGAGCTAATGACAGACCCAGTTCCTTTGAAATGCTCAAATTGGTTGTACTCTGTATCTCATACAAAGGCAAAGGATAAAGCTAGCACCTAGATAGGGAGGTCAAAGGAAAATATCTCTTGGCTTCCTGGTGATTTAAAACCTTCTCAAATGGTTAAGATACTTGAATAAGGGTACTAAATAATAAAACAATAGTATGTGAGCCTACACAGCAAATTTTCTGTTCTCCAAGGCCAGGACTATTGCATGCAATGTTCCCTGGTGGAGGCTGAGTGGATGGATGCACAGTCTGGGTGCTTCCTCTTTATTTGCTTCCATCCCCACTGTGCTCAGCTCCTGGGGGTCAGCTTAGCTAGAAATTGCTGGCTGACATACAGCTGTTAGTGAAAAGCATTTATCTGAGCAGAGCAGTAGAAAGTAGAAGTCCGATTCTCTTTATCACCTATATAATTTTTTTTTAATGACTTTGATTTTGTTCATTGTTGGATAAGTTTGTGTGTGCTCTTGTTTAGTCTTGTCAGTGGAAGTATTTTGGAAGATGACACAGATGGCTGAAAGACACGGCCTTTGTGTCTTAATGTGCAAATGAAGTCCAAATCCATTAAAGGGTCAGCATACTAATTGTGTTTTCATCATGCATGTAAACCAGCAGCACACATGGTGCATTGGAGCAGGGCACAGGCTGAATCCATTTTGATTCCATGGTGGTAGGGAACCCAGTGACAGATGTTCTTCCTGTTAATTCATGCAATCATTTTGCAAGGTGGCAGTAGTTTCCAAAGGGACAATGAACTTCTGCTTTCCCTGACCTCCTCCTCATTGTCATTGTGTTATTAATGGGACATTTTTATACACGTGTTTAACAGCCCTGCAGGGCACGTGGTGCCAGTTTTCACAAGATGGATACTTGGAGCTGGTAAGTGTAATAACCAGAAATGTCAGTGCCACTCAAGTGTAACTAGATATTCTCATTTTTATTGTTTCAGGTTTATCCCAATTTATAGGGGACCAAGTCACACATACAAGATCCAGAGGCTGACAGAATCCACCTGTTACTCATTCAGAATACAGGCAGTCAATGATGCTGGGGAGGGACCTTTCTCAGAAATCTGTACTTTCTGCACAACTAAGTCACTCCCACCTGCAATCAAAGGTATGTGGTATGGTTTTTTACGTGTAAGTAATATGTAAATATTTATGTAATTGGTAAGTATGAGGGGAGGTTGTAAGGGTTACCATAAGTAGTACTAACACTTGTGAAGAACCAGTTTGTGCTGACTGTAGGTTTCTCTTGAGTTGTGAAGTTATTTAATGGTGGGAAGCTAAATTACCACCCAGAAAAAATCACACAAGCAACATAAAGGTTATGTCAGCCACTGTTGTAATTAAAAAAACTGTTCAAATGCTGCTGCTGTCAATAATGTTTACCAGGGGATTGCTCTGGATTACCACAGCATTTATACAAGGGATCTAACAGCTGTATTGTGTGTGTGTATGTACTTACCAACTTAAGCTTTAGTAAAGTTTAATTTTTTTTGTTGTGTATTTGATGTCCAATGTAGGTCTTCAGGGTTTATTTTTCCTTTAATATATAAAATTAATTATTATATTTCACATATAGAGCATTAGACTTAGAACTCAGTATGTGTTCCACTAGAAGAACTAAAGGCCTAATTAAATGAAGTTTTATAATGAAATGTCTTTTGCTGTGTGTAAATTTTGTCCTAAGTAATTATGCTCCCGAGGAAGAGGAGGAAGGAAGGAGCAGAAGTAAAACCCACACTGAAAGATGTTTCATTATAAAACTTCATGTAATTAGACCTTTTGCTCTAGGCTTAATTAGTCCTTCTTAGGCCTGTTACAAAGGCAGTGGGTTTGCTCTATGGGCTGTCAGATCAGCACCTTTTCTCCTGGGTGCTGAAGTCCTCCCTGTCAAGCCCTGTGATTTTTTGAGAGAAACAACAACTGACAATTTGTCAGAGAGGTTTTGTTTGTTTCTTGGTACTTCAGACCTGGCTTTGGTGATTTTGACACCTTCTGTAAACAAATATTTAGAGAGGGGAGAACACTGCTGGGAATGCCTTTCCCTGCTGGGTCAGCTGCTCGAGCCACCCCCAGGGAGAAGAACACTCTCCAGCAAAAAATACCTGTGTAATTGAGGGTAAGGATCCTCAGCCAGGGGTGAGGTATCCTGGTGCACACCTTTACTCAGGTGTGGGATGTGCTGCCCATCCTAGGGAAGGGAGCTCTCCTGGCATGACCCAGGGTGCTGCTGTAGTCACACTCGCATTTTGTTGCTTAAAAATCCATTTTATTCAGTTCACCTCACCTAGGTGTTTGTTTTGAACTCCCAGTCTGCCTGTTGAGTCCCTGATAAGTGTGACTCATCCCCTGGGCTGAGTATCAAGCTGAGTAAAAATGGTGCAAATACCAGGTCCTGTGTGGGCTGGGACCTTGGGTACCTGACAGAACACTGGCTGTGACAGAGAAAAGGGCATGACAAAACTCTGCCAGTGAGCAGAGGGGAGGTGATGCCATGGGGAGGACTGGTCTGATGCAAAATTATGGTGTTGATTCCCTTCTGTGCTCAGAGAAATACAAAAGAATTTACGTGATAAACTTAAATTGGCTTTTTTATCTATCAGAAGAAAGTGTGTGTTCTCCTGTAAGGTCTCCGAATTACTCTCTCAGTGATGCCGACCCTAGAATAGCTTTGTTGTTAATGGCAGTGTTTTCTAAAAATCTACATGTATTGAAGTGAGGGATGGAAGGAGAAGGAAAAAAAAATTGAGATTGTTGTCAGCTAAGATAAAGGCATCTATTATCAGTCTCTCAATACTAGCAGATGTGCAGAGAGAAGTAAATGGATATTGATTACATTTGGGCCTTCATGATTCAAGTGTTCCTCTTGGGAAGTAACAAATCAGTCTAAAATTTGTGTAATGTATGCACCAGCATTTGTTTCTTTGGTGGACCCTCCTGTTGTCTGTTTTTGTAGGGTTGGGGATCTGGATTGCCTTTAACAAGCTCATGTCCTTGCACGTGCATGTGCTAACCACCTGATACAAGTGTTCAGCTCTCTTGTTTCTCCCAGTTTTATTTTTTTTTTTTTGGTATTGTGTTTGCTGGCTCTGCCTGATGAAGAGGTTGGTGAACCCTTCATGCTGTTGCAGTTTTTTTCATGCCTTCCAGAGGCAGATGCTTTGTTGTACATAAAAATGTGTTGCCCCTGTGTGGGCTCTGCTGGACTGACCCGTGAGCTTGCTGTGGGTCAAGGCACAGCATCCCTGGGCTTTAGCTGGTGAGAGAGCCTCTGCCAAGGACAGCAGCCTCCTAACAGCTGACAGATTGAATTTCTCTGGAGTTCTAGTGAGAGCACTAGTCTTAAGTCTGACTACAAATAGCAGATCTGATCAAGTGGGTGTCAGACTCAGAGTTATATTCAAGTGCAAGTCTTAAAAATTATGCTTGTCCTTTTGCTTCCCAGGCTGGACTTCATAAGATTCTTTAGCTTTTCTTCTCACATTCCTTCTCCTGTTTTTCCTGAATGAAATATTTGGCATTATTCCTTTCTTTCAATGCCTTGTGGCACGGGGGGGATGCACAGGCATCTTCACTGGCACAGGTGTTTGCTCAGAACTTCACAGAATTGCTGCTTTTATGAATGCCTGTGTAATTTGTGCATTGGCTTCTGCTTTGAAAAGATCAGTGCACAGCACTGCAATTAAGTTTTGGAAGTTTTCTCTAAATCCACTCCTCCTTTGTAGCAGCTCAAAGAGCTGACAGGTAAGAGGTGCTCTAGCCTTTAAAAAATGTTCTGGTATATATTACAGTGCTCATAAAACAAGATTTCAGTGCAGTCTTTATATTAAACAGTAACACATTTCCTTTTATTGTAGCCCCTCGAGTAACACAGTTGGGAGGAAACTCCTGTGAAGTTACCTGGGAAATGGTCCCACCCATGAAGGGAGATCCTGTTGGTTATGTTCTGCAGGTACTGGTTGGAAGAGAATCTGAATACAAGCAGGTAGGAAATGGTCTGGATTTAATATTGTTAAATTGATGGCATAATGGAAATGGTTTTGAAAATCCACTGTGCTGCTTCTTTCTGCTGTATTGAATTACACCCTATGGTGATGTGTCAGGTGCACTTTGGTAAAGGCTGAGTCAAAATTAAGGGCTGTAATGGGCTGTTTTTTCCCCTAAGGGAGTATATAGAACATCATTATTTTATTGGAGTGATTTGTGTTCTTTCTGTGGCTAATCACTATTTTTAATTGTACTAACCTTTAAAAAGTTACAGTTCTATCCACCCATGCTTGCTTCTGAGCTGGCTGCTCTAACCATTATCTGGAGGTGAGGTGAAGTCACAAGGTGAATCTTTCTAAGCCAGTTCCAAGACTGTCCATCAAGGTTTTCAGTCAAGTATACCTTAAGTGGTTTGTTCACCTGTCTCGTTCCTGTCTGAGGTTTTGATGCACGTGTATCCTGTGTATCCTTTCTCTCACTGTGGAAATAAAGACAGTGAAGTACAGCTGATCCTGCTTTCCTTTGTCTGGATTAGACATCACAAGTGGATACTTCCCCAGAGCCCCTGAAACAGAACAGCTCATTCACAGTTGGGTCTTTTATTTCATCTATCACACCTCTGGCTGTGTGATTTGCAGTGCACTTCATCTGTGTGCTCTCTTTTTCCTGTGCTTCCTTTCGTTGTCATGCAGATTCCAAATAAATCCAAATTAGGGAAATGAGATATGCTATGGTAATTAAACTCTTATGCTGCACTAATTAAACTCTTAAAAATATGTGTAAGTTAGTGCTTTCTTTGCAACTGCGTCTTTGTTCCTCTTCAGGCTGTTTTTGAGCACTGCTGTGAACTAATGAATTATCAAAAATAACACCAAAAATGGAGGACAACTCATGGGGGTGATACAGATGCAGAAACCTAACGATTTTTTTTGTCAGGAAACATTTCTGGTGCTGGTGTAGGTAATGAAACCCGTGTGCACTTTGCTGGCCTCATAATGTTAGTGACAAGTGGATAAGTGGAGCCATTTTGCTGTTGCCTGATGTACAGAGTAGCTTTGGTGTGTCACCTCCAGGTAGAGCTTCAGTGAATGGAGTCCCAGAGTTTAAAATGTTCCGGAGTCCTTGGGGAGAACTGGGCACAGCTTCATGTTCCTGGCACATAAGTGATGGCTTCATCTGCACAGTCCAGGACTTGTGGTGTGAACAAAACAGCAGTGAAGGAAGTAAAAAGGAAGTAAAAAATACTTTCAGGGTCTTCTTATGTTGAAGGTTTTCATTTCTCATGAGGCACAAGCCTGATGAGGGTTCTTGTGGGAGTTGTAACTCCCTGGAGAAGATTCCTGGCTGAGATACTCCAAGTGACACTGGGACTTGTGTAGCTGTGCTGGCTGATAACCAGCCATGGGAAAGAGGGAGACTTCCACTGTTTCACCTTTGCCCATCAAGGTGTTTTTTCTCCATCAGGACTGTGGGTGGTCTCTCAGCACTGGGGCACGTCCCTGTCCATGAGCTGCAGTGGCTGTGTGCTCTGAGCTCCTGTAATGTGCACAGAAGATAAAATACAGAAACACCTTTCAGTGATTTTTCTGGCTAATGCATTTCACCTCTGCTTTGTCATGCCTGTGATCACCTGTTACTATTTAACTGCCAAGTACTGCCACCAATATGTTCATTAATGTTAGTGATGTCTTAATTACCTTTGAAGTGCAGGTCCTAAACTTATTTTTAAACATATTTTGTTCCCTGCAAGTGACAAATATATTTTACATATATATCTAAAGGGGTATATAATAGTAGAAATATTTTGCAAATTGTTTTGAAGGGTGGCACCAGTGAAATCTACTCTAGATTTTCAGGCTGTTCATGGAATGCAACATCAGCCACTGATAATGCTCTTGGGTAAAGCTGTCACACCTGAGCTGCCTCCCTCCCCTGCACCCCAGTGTTTGTAGCCCTCCACAACCCAAAATCTGCTGATTTTTTACTATTTGATCTAGCAAAAGTGATATGAAAGTACTCAAAAGCTTTTTTTTTCCAGATTGGGACTATAGCCATCCCTGCCCTCCTCTGGGAGAATATTTTGTAAATATTTCTCTGCTGAGAATTGTCTGAAGGACTGGAATTGCTGGAGCTAAACAGATGACATTTTAGCTCCCTGGAGAGTGTATTTTAAAAAATGCTAACTACTCCTTTCCTTGTTCCTCACACAGTATGTTCCTTTTTGTGTATTTGTGTGCTTATCTTTACAGATAATTTTTAAAAATCAATGGGAAAATTCTTTTTAGGAAATCAAATCTTCCTTGTTTATGAATCAGGATGTAAGCCACAGGAGATTCCAGGAATCAGTGGCCTGGATTTGTTTTTCTATTTCTTGCACTTCTATCCAGTATAGCTCACTCAGTCAGACTTTATCTCCAAAGTGTATTAAATTGTCTCTGTGTTTGCATAGCTTTAATCTGGATTTAGGGGAGTGGGCTGGGCTGTGCAGCACCCACAGGAGCTGCAGATTGGGATAACAGCTGGAATGCCCAGCAGCCTAAGGTTTGGTTTCCCAGTTGAGCAGCTCTGGGGATGAAATCACCCAGAAGCCAAATCCTTTTAAGAGCTGACCATGGAGAATGAGAGCTGAACTTTTTAAGGCTTCTTTATCCTTAAATTGTTTGCAACTGAAGCAAAATGTTCTACCTTTGAAATTTCCAAGAATTTGGAGGCAGCAGTATTTCATCAGCTTCTGCCACTTATCTTCTGAGAAAAAAAACCTGTCTCCAAATGCTTTCCAGAATAAGAAAAAATATGGGTAGGATACACTGGGTGTGTGAAAATCCCCTTAGCAGTTCTCAGGTCTGCACTGAGAGGTCGGTGCTTGGGAGAGCCCAGTTGTCCTCACCAAGCTCGCATTTTAATTATTAGGGTTTTTTTTAATTTGGATTATATTGTGTAGACACACACAGAATATCTGAAACACTTTAGTGAACTGATAATTTCTGTAAAGTTTAGTCAGCCAAAACTTTTGTTTCCTTCTCTATTTTCAGTAAGTCAAAGGCACTTGTGCTGATTGTGTGCCAGAATATGACTGAATAACAAAGTACCTGTTGGCATTAATGCCACTTGCTTTGGGTATTTCCTCTGCCTCCTGGTGTCAGTTTTATGTCATGAGATGGAGGAAATAATTTCCTTTGGTTGGTGTTTTTCAGTGCAGACAACCTCAAGGCAGGTTCTCTGCGGCGCTGTTGGTTCTCTGGTCAGGAGACACACAACTCTGAGGGGATTTTGAGTATCTCAGCAGTGGAGTGAGTGAAGCTGATGTTGGGTTTGGATGAAATTATAATCCAGTTTCTTAAAAAGAAATCTGTCAGGTGACTTAGAAGGAATTAAACTTTTGAAGTGGGTACGTTTTCAACATAAATTGAAACCCATCCCTGGCAGTGCCCAAGGCCAGGTTGAACAGACCAGGCTTGGAGCAGCCTGGTCTGGTGGAAGATGTCCCTGCCCATGGCAGGAGATTGGAACTGGGTGATCTTTAAGGTCCTTTACAACCCAAACCATTCTATGATTCTGTCTTTTTATCAGCATACAAAATAGGCTTTTATTAGCTATTAAAGACATTGGCCATTGCATCAGGGTGCAACAACCAGGTGAGGTTACCTTGTATTTTTTGGTGTGTTTCTTTAGGGCAATTATGGCTGTCATTGTTATTGTTTGCAAAGGAGGGAGATGGGGTTGGAATTATTTAATGAGATCCGTGAAATTGAGAAATCCTTGCCTGCAGGAATTCTCTTGTCTCTCTAGCTCGATCAGTAGGATCAAATACCATAAGAGTCTTCAGCAGCAGTTTATTACTTGTGATGATATTTCCATTGAGGGAGCCAGGCAAAAAGCTTATCACATTTTTATTGTATTCTGAAGTGTCCAAACCAAAACGCTGTTTTTAGGAACTGAAAGTGATAAATTGGATAGGCACTTCACTTGCTGGCATCCAAAGCATAATGTACTACATATAAAATAATATTTCTGCTTCGTAGAGTTATATTTTATTTCATATTTGTTTGGCAGATTTAAAGACCTTATTCACAGTTGTCAAGGTTTTTTTCTGTCGTATATGTGAAGTCCACTCGCAGAGTGTAGCAGTGTTCACAAATAAATGTGTTTGTGCTGGGGGCATCCTGCCAGAGCTCTGAGGTGCTGCTGCAGCCCCTGGCAGAGGGTACAGAGGCTGCTCTCAGGACTGGGAGACAATTTAATAATTATTGACCTGTTACTGATAGGTAGGTCCACTGAGGTAAATACTCACCAAACCACTGAAAGCAGGACAATTCTCATAACCATCTTAGTGCTGCTGCAGGAAATGTTTTGTCTTTATCATTGGTGAATATTAATTCACATAATCTGTCCACTTTGAACGATTTTTCAAACTTCCCTTACAAATACACTCTTCTTGGCTTCTGGCCTTTGTATGAGAAGTGATGTTGAATAGCTGGCTTGAGTGAACTTGGCCACTGTACTAGTTAGACTGTAATGAAGATATAGGTCTTTGATTTAGCCAAGCCTGGCCTCCAGTTACGCTGCTATTCACCACCCTGACAGAACAAAACAAGTAAAAAACCCAGGATTTTTTTGTTTTACTGGACAGGATATTTTCAGTGCAAAGACAGGTTGTATGTATGGAATTGCTAGTATCTCTTAAATGTAATTTATAAAGTTTAGATTGTAATTTTTTTTAATTAAATCTCATTATTTGGATTTTATTGGGTTTTTTATTTTGATTCAGAAGTTATTGTATTGGTTGCAAAGGTTTATTTGTGGCAAAGGCACATAGAGCTTTTCTGGCTATATGTTTTGAAATTAAATTATTAATTTCAGCAGCACCAGAAAGCAAATCTTGCTGACAGATTTTTTTGTCAGAACTTTGAGTTGCCCTGACTCAGAATCTAAAGAAATGGGAGTTTGGTGGAAGAATCCTGCCTGTCCTATGGGACAACAGAGTTGCCCACAGCAGGTGGGTGTTAGAAATGGAACTGCCATTGGAGAAGAGTGGCAGAGGTGTTCTTGGGATGGGGGCTGCTGTGCAAACAGATATTTCAACCCTCACATCACTTCTGTGGGCTGCTACAGCACTTTCAGTTTTGTTTTCCCTGCAATTAGTGTAACCCAGTGACTCACTCCTCATTGGCTTTGGGAAGACAAACAAAGACAAAAAGCAGCTGTGCATGGCTGTGGCCAGTCACAGGGGTTTATGGGATGAATTTGTTGTATTCCTATCACTTGACCTGGAGGGAACTTCCTGCAAGTTCTGAGCAATACTTGAGCAAGGAAACGTTTATTCAAATGTTGTTTCTTGATCTGTGCCTGAGGTGCAAGAAACATGGGCCAGTTAGAGCACTTAGTCTGGAAACCCAGACTCGCCATCATTCAAACTGCATTTGGAAAAGCTGAAAAGGCAAGGAGAAGACAAATGAAGGAAGAACCTTAATCTTTTTGTCACAGACCTTCTCAAAAAATCAGCAACTTACTGTTTAACCGAGGAATGAGTCTCAGGGACAAGCAGGGCAGGAAAGCTGGGAAGCTGAGTCTTTCAGTGGTCTTTAGTTGAGCATGTTTCTTCTCTTTCCTCCTCATTTCTTACTCCAGAGTAACACACAGGAAATCCTCTATGGGCTTGGGACCAGTTTCCCACTTGTTCCCTTTTCTAAGATGAGTTCTTGCCTCTGGGAGGGCAGAGATGCTCTCAGGCTTCTGCTCCCACAGCCAAGAGACAGGAAATGGTAAATGAGCAGAGGAAGAAGTATCTGAACTTCAGGATGTTTTTTTCCCAGCAGACATAACTTTTTTTTATTTCATAAAATACCAGGCTCAACAACTCTCCGTTATATAAATTATTTGTTTTCAGAGTTTGTGAATATTTCCAGTGGTTTTTTTTTCCATTTGAGCCACAAAATTGTCTCAGATCCTCAGTTTTTTCGCTCGTTTCTGATACTGTGACTTGTGTTCTGCGTCATGTGGTACCTACATTTGATTAATATAAATAGGTGATGGGGTTGGATTAGTAAACAACCAAATATAATGCGATCAAGAGGAAATTTTTCACACCTTAATAATACTTTATTATTTCCACAGTTCTCAAGGTGCAATTTCTGGCAAGATTGCTGTTTCTTGAGAAAAGTATGAGGGGGAAATACATTAAAATTACATTTGTAAGCAATTTTACCACTACACATTGAATGACTTTCAATAACCTCGTTTGCAGGTTTTCTTCCTTTTGGGGCCAGACAGGGCGATTATGTCCTAGACATGTTTTAGGTGTACAGTCACACTTTCAGAGTGCAGAAGTGCGTTTGTAGCCTTTATCACGCCCACAGATTAGTGTGTGCTGTCATTGCTGCACTGAGTGATGTGTTTGTTGTCTGTCCCTGTGTGCACTGTGTCGAGACTTGTTGAGAATTCCTCCACTTGCCTCTGTTTTTCCAAAATCTGCGTGGACCCAGTGAGTTCCTTCCTTTGAGAAGCATTTCCTTAGAGACTTGACTTGATGCCTGGAGTGACTGCCTAGAACAGAGGCTGGACAGAGTAGAGAATAAAGCAGGTATTTGTTAAAGGCCTTCAGCATATACACCTTGGGTAATGCAAAAACCCTGCAGAGGCTACACCCAAGATGGACAACGGTCACGAGTTTCTCAGACAGATGTAAGTTTGGGCTATTTGCATATCAGGGGCTAATTGTCACAATTATACCTTCAGGTAATGAAGTCACCTTCCCTCAGTTGATTCCCCCAAAATTCATTTTTGTTCATACTTTTTGGGGGCTGAGGCTGCGAGGGTGACCTTGGTTCTTAGGCTTGAGGGTGACCTTGGTTCTCAGGCTCGAGGGTGACCTTGGTTCTCAGGCTCGAGGGTGACCTTGGTTCTCAGGTTTGAGGGTGACCTTGGTTCTCAGGTTTGAGGGTGACCTTGGTTCTTAGGCTGGAGGGTGACCTTGGTTCTCAGGCTCGAGGGTGACCTTGGTTCTCAGGCTTGAGGGTGACCTTGGTTCGCAGGTTTGAGGGTGACCTTGGTTCTTAGGCTGGAGGGTGACCTTGGTTCTTAGGCTCGAGGGTGACCTTGGTTCTTAGGCTTGAGGGTGACCTTGGTTCTCAGGCTCGAGGGTGACCTTGGTTCTCAGGCTTGAGGGTGACCTTGGTTCTTAGGCTTGAGGGTGACCTTGGTTCGCAGGTTTGAGGGTGACCTTGGTTCTCAGGCTCGAGGGTGACCTTGGTTCTCAGGCTCAAGGGTGACCTTGGTTCTCAGGCTCGAGGGTGACCTTGGTTCTCAGGCTCAAGGGTGACCTTGGTTCTCAGGCTTGAGGGTGACCTTGGTTCTCAGGCTCAAGGGTGACCTTGGTTCTTAGGCTTGGAAGGATTGTTTTGTCTGCCTGTTTTCTGTCTGTTTTGTCTCTCTGTGGAGAGAGCTTACTAAAACTCTGTTGCTCACTGATGCAGGAATCATATTCACTAGTACAGGATCTGTAAAACTTTAAACATAAACCTCAGGGCAGAGCCTGACCTTGCGCGGCGCAGCCGCCGCGGAAGCGGGACGAGCTTTGTCTGACCGCGCTGCCTGCTTTGTTTTTAAGGTCTACAAGGGAGAAGAAACCACATTCCACATCTCAGGCCTTCAGCTGAACACGGACTATCGGTTCCGCGTCTGCGCCTGCCGCCGGTGCCTGGAGCCCTGGCAGGAGCTGAGCGGCCCCTTCAGCCCCTCGGCGGCCTTCGCGCTGCAGCGCGGCGCCCTGGCGCTGCCGGCCGAGCCGGGCGCCGCCAGCGCCAAGGCCGCGCTGCCCACGGACGAGCAGTTCGCCGCCCTCATCGTGCTGGGCTTCGCCAGCCTCTCCATCCTCTTCGCCTGTATATTACAGTACTTCTTCATGAAGTAGACAATTCAACCGGAGTTTAAAGTACAGGTTTAACTAATGCTACGCATTATAATCCACACATTTATTCAGATATTCCTCCTTTTCCTGGTTTTTTTCCTCCTTTTTTTTGTTTTTGTTTTTGGTTGTTGTTGTTGCTGTTTCGAAACCCTTCATTCTACCGTGCGTTTTTATATACTGCTCTTGTTTTTACAGTTAAAGATAAATCAGTGTTTTGATGCACCTTTTTGAAATTCAGAACTAGGAAGTGGTCAAACTGGAGAAACAAGCAAACCAGATACCAAAAGCAAGATTTTTTTTTTTTTCCTTCACGATTTCAAAATTGTCAACGATTTGCCTTTTCAAGGTTGGTTTTGGCTTTTTTCACTGAAGTTCATGCAGTCTCTTATTTTATCTTACTATTTAGGAAATTTTAATAATGAGTCATGTTTTTGTCTCTTCTTTTTCCTACTAAACATTAGTCACAAGTATGTATAGTGGTAAGACTAGAATACAGTGTTAGTCAAGTACCAGTTTTTCCTTGAACAGTATTAGCAATTTTGCCTATGAATTATTCACTACATTTGCCCCAATTTTTCAAGATAAAACCTAAGTTTTTGTTTTAACTGTTCAGTGCATTTAAATTGGAACAACATCCTGCAGTTGAAAGACTTTCTTAGTTGCCTGTTATTTTTACAGTTGCAAACACTATAAACTGCCTGTATAAGAAATCAAATAACCAAACTACGTATAAATTATGAAGCATTATAGATTTTTTTTTTTTACCATGTTGATTCCTAGCAGTAATTTTAAGTAAGAGGGCATTGTGCAATAGTTAGTTATTCCCATGTTCAGCTATTTAAAAGCTGCTTTAACTTGTCTGTTTGTCACTGTATATAAGTATTCCTAATCTAATACTAGATATTATTCTATTACATTCAGCCTGATTTATATGATTCGAGCTGGTGACAGCTTACTGCCTCTACTGAATTAGGTGAGATTTACACTCAATGGAAGCAAACTTTATTGTCAGTAGATCTTTTTTTTTATTATTAATATTATTGTTATTTTTGGAGGGGTATCTATTTTATGGAACTTTCTTGGAGGTATCAGAAATCACATCTGTTTGTTTTAAATACCTTAGAAGGGTGTCTATGCTGTTCTTACCATGGGGCTGATTGAAATAACTTGGTACCTGGCAGAAGTGAGATGAGAGTCCTGCAGAGGAATGGTCCCTGCTCTGGTGGCAGTGTCCCCCTCCTGCCTGCCCCTTCCCAGACACGTTTTAATCCATCGAGACACTAGATTTTTAACTCTTGAGTCATGGGATTATTTATATTAAGTCAACATTTTGCAAGTACCTCAGGGACATAAATGAGCTGGAGGTGCAAATAGATTCCAAAAGGGTGCAACAGACACAGTGTATTTCCCTGCCTCTTGTTTTTGTATATTTTTGCTACTTGATTTTGCTTTTGTCCTAGCTTTTTTGTGCTCTGTCTCCATCGTCTAAGATTCAGTGTCCTGTACTAGCATAATATTCCCTTAACCAAAGTAATGGGGAAAAAAACAACATTATTTTTGTTTTTAGGTTTATTTATACTATATACTGCATACAGTACTTTAAATACCAATTACAGTGCAATCTTTTTATTTATTGTAAAAAAATAAAAAATAAAAAGTGTACTTATGTACTAATCTAAACCCCCCTCTCCACCCTCCCTATAGCATGTTACATTTTGTCTGTTTTATACTGTTGTACTTTAGGTCAACTTTTTACCTGGCAGCATTCCTAGTATTATTAATCTTCTTGCATTTTCTTGTGTTTTTGAAGATGGGAGCATCTAGTACATTAAATGCCAAAAAAAACCCCATTATCAGTGATTCAAACGTTTACATGTATCCAAAAACAAAATCATCTCTGGAAAGAAAGTGCTAAGATCAATGAATTATTCTGTGTGCCTCTCTAGATGTAGCAAATATTAGAAATGTTCTGTATTTTGTTATTGACTATAATTAGTTTGATTTAGCCTTGCAAACTAATGGCATTGAGCTAAATATATATTTTTTTTTGTTTTTTGCCAAAGTCATGGCTTGTCAAATTTATTTACATCTTATTTAAATTTATTTGTGATATGAAATTCTGTGACCTTGCATCTGTATTTTGTGAGCAAAAAGTATACAGCTGTTTTCATTGGAGGGGAGAAGAGTGTATTTTTTAAAACAATGAAAAGACCGCTAGTTTGGAAAAACCCAGAAATTTGAATAGATTGCCTTTTTTTATTTTTGGTATATTGTTTGAGCAGTGCTGCTATGAAATCCGAGCTTGACACCTTTGTTTTTTTAAAGAAAAGAAAACAAAACTGCTTTAATAAAGAAAGGAAAAAACCCAATGTGCTCTAGATTAGCGATTTTGAAAGTTTGAAATACGAGTGCTACTAAAAGCAGTGAGCAGACGTGGAGGGGAGAGCAGCCAGTCCCACTCAGAGCATCTCTGTCACTGCTGATCCTTGTACCCACACCAACCAGAGCCCCCAGTCCACGCCTGAGCTTTTGGGAGATCCTGCTGGAGCAGCTGGGACAGGCCCCGTGGATTTGGCCTTTTCAGCCTGTGCCTCCTGCCACGGGGATCTGATTGTCACCTGTGTGTCGGTGACAAAGATGACTGGTGTCACACCCTTCTCTTCTGAGGGATGTTGTCCCTGACCCACCACTGCTGATGCCTTGGCCCTTCCCAAACCTCCTCGTGCCCCTGGTCCAGCAGTGGCAGGTGTTGGATCCGAGCCCAGGGCGCTCTGCTCTCACAGAAATCACCACCACCACCAACAAAGGTAGAATGAAACACTACGTATTTAATACCCTTGAGGAAGGAGAGAGATGTTTTTATATTGTTCTGCCTTTTTCTTTATGAACTTGAAGTGTTTTCTAATCCTGTTTGTTGGCTCCAGTAGCTCAGTATTCAGTGTCACAATTGAGAAGTGCCCTAATTGAATGTGTATGAACCTTATCCTTGCACAGTTCTTTAAATTGAAAAAGAAAAAATAAAATGTTTTTACCTCACTATGGGAACATACATTCCAAGCTTTTCAACTTTAAAAAAAAAAATAATCAGCAGTTTTCTTGTATTGTAAATTTTAGACTATTTCATATGCATTATATTAAAACTGCCATATCAATTTTAATGTATAGATTTTGCAAATACTACACTATGTATGTAAGACTTAACTGTATCTGTAGTGTATATGTAATATATTTATGCCCAATAAATGTTTTAATTCTTTCTGTTTTAATTCTTCATTTTAATTGAACACAGCCCTTTGGGTTGACGTGGCCCCTTCTGGCAGGTTAGTGCTGTTGTGCATCCTGGAGCAAGGGTGGGAACCCTGAATTTACCTCAGGATGTTTCTGGTCTGTAACTGGAGTGGTTTTTGTGGTTTTGTGAAGAGTAAGGTTATAGTGATAATCTGAAAGTTAGGTGTTATAATCACTTCTTTTAAATAGCTTGTATGATTTATATTTATAGAAACATACCCAGGTTTGTTCTCTCTCAGTAATTAAACACTTGAAATACTAGAGCTTTTAACTTACTAATTATGCACAACAAATTCAATTCCTCATCATGATGAAATAATCTACTGTGTATACATGCTTCTTTTCAAACACATTCATGTTAATTTTTTAATGCTTTTCTTCAAGTCACTGCATAAATACAACAGTTGATTTCTTTGCTTTTTTAATTACTTCAGTTTACAACAGGAGTGGGGTTTTCCTAGGGGAATACAGTACCTTTTTTCATTTGGTTGCTCAGCTTTTTTTTTATTTTTTATTAGTGCTTGCCAAGACAAGCTCTTTAACAAAATCTTTTACATATGTCTATAAAATAATAATCAGCACTTTGCCATCTGAGGAGATCTTTTATTTTCAGTGGTCCCTGGTTAATTGCCAGGGGTGTCTACAGAGATGCTGGAGGACGGTGAGAGCGCGTGGGAGAGAAGCAGGATTTAAACATTTGCTGTTGGAGTTCTGAATGTTACCTTGTGCTGTTATCACCCACAGGTTTTAGCAGAGGTGCTGGGTGCCTTTCCCACACCCAGGCTGTGCAGAGCTGGGTAAGTAGCACCAAATTTACCATGGGTTTTGTTTTGTGAGGAAGTGCAGAGCAGGTTCTAACCGGGCTTGGCTGATGCTGTATTTACTAGCAGCTCTTTGCCTGCTGGCGAGAGAAGTATCAACTTTGGAAAGTTCTGGAAGAGAGCAGAGGCTCGTGTTTGGGGTATTTTTGTGGTGGGGTGGTGCAGCAGTGGGCTGGGGCACGTGCCACCGTGTCAGCAGTGCCAGGTGTGCCCCAGCAGCGCGTGGTCCCCAGGCTGGTGCTGCCGTTTCTATGGCAGCAGAGATTCTCTCCTCTCAGTAATCACAGAGCTGCTCAAAAGCCAACGCCTGGAATTTGTTTTGCTCCTCACTTCAGTCGCTCCTGCCAGCTTGGAGCATGTTTGGTGTGGTGCAGGAGAGCTGAGCCCCGTTGGGGTCTCTCTGAGGAGCCAGGGGGTCAAAGCCACGTGTGGCACGAGCCGAGCCACGCGCTCCCTGGAGGAGTTGGGAGCACACAGGATCTGCAGTGACATCAGTCCCTGCTGTTCACCTCCTGTGGAGCTTTTCCACAGGCTCACCTGTGTCTCTGAGTTTGAGGAGATGCTCAAATCCAGTGTGCTATAAAAAAAAAAAGCTGAAGGGGGGTGTGGGGGAGTCGTAGTGCCAGTGCTGTGCCAGAGGATCAAGGCTCTCCTGCCTGACCATCCCACCCTGAAGCATAGCTGAGATATTTAAAATCCCCCTGAAAATTAAATATTTGGGCTGGAAGCAGATGATCATGAAAGCCCCTTCCAACCCAAACCATTCTATGATTCCATTCTATCAATTTATGGCCTGTGGACATAGAGTGATTCTTCTCCAGCATTAATGACAGCTACATCAACAGGATGGTTCTGCTAGACCTGTCTTGCAGCCAAAGGTGTCAGAGGCAAGAAGAAATTTATGTGGTAATATGAAGTATAAATAATATTTCCTCTGCAAATGCTTTTCTAGAATTATTTCAGAGTTCATGATGAATTGTCATTTATTGAAGTGGTGTAGAATTATATCCTGTCCTTAACCTGGCCTGGAGTAAAGATGCAAATGTTATCTTTCTTTTTCTCAGAGTGAGAACCACAAGTAAGTAGAGATGAATATGGACATTTTGTTTCACTGTTTTTATGGCTGAGCAGAAAAGCCAGCTGAGATCCCCTGAAAAGGCTATTTTAAAGGTACTACATTCTGAACAATTACATCTGCTTTTGCCTTCAAAATTGTTCTTACAATGCCCAGTTTCTTAGCTCAGTGAAATAAAAAAAAGCTTCACAAGATGCTTTCAAACACAGTGGATTAGCCTGGGATCTGCTGTTATATAAGTGAATGTGCTGTTATTAGTTTGAGTAGTTACATTTGCTGCAATAATTGGTGGCATAGATGGTCTTGCATGCAATCAAAGCTATTTTTAGGTCTCCTGACATGGTTAATAAATAACTGCTTGGGTCAGTGTGCTCAGTGGATGTCATTTCTTAGTGATTTTATTAGCTCATCTCTCTCACTTTCTGACATACGAATGCTATTACTCTCTACAAATAAAATAGAGCAAACAGTAGGGATGCAGAAGTCTTGTGAGGATTAACTTGTGAATAGAGTTGAAAAATTCACCCTAATCCAATGCAAATATTGTCTTTTTAAATTTCTAGCTCAAATGCTCTTTCTTTCCATAACAAGTTTGTGAGCTGGTGGTGGTGTCCTGGGCTGAGAGGCTGTGCAGCACTGGTGATGTTGGTGTTCCCTGGCTGCACTCAGGCAGGATGCACTTATTCCTTGCCCAGCCATGGCTGCAGCTCATCAGGGTTTGCTGAGAAAATCAGGTCTTTGCCCCCAGCAGAGCCAAATATCCCCTGGGATGCTGCTGTGTGGAGTTTGTATTGTTGGATGGAGCTCTGGGTTAGTGTTCTCTATGGCTTGTTCCTGTGCTCTCTATGGCTCTGTCCTGTGTCCTGCTTAAAGTGTCAGGTGATTGACTTCAGTGTTCTGGAACCAAAAGCATCCCAGCTGTTCAAACCTCTGGTTTTTCTCTGAGTGAGCCTCATCTGGGCAGGGATGGTGCAAGCCCCGTTCCTTGGCTCACATCAGCCTGTCTCACAGGGAGGATGCACATCTGGACACAGCCTGGGGCAGTGGCACTGCTCTGGCTGCGTGGCTGAGTCCAGATTCCAGTGTGGGAAATCAGGCACGAGCCTGCAGAAAAGACTGAAAGGAAGCAGGTAAATACAGACCTCTCAAGGGTTTTGACACCACAGCTGGTCTGAGGTGACTTCCCTGTGAGGGTGGCGTGGCCCTGGCACAGGTTGCCCAGGGAAGTTGTGGCTGCCCCATCCCTGGTAGTGCTCATGGCCAGGTTGGGTTGGGTTCTGAGCAGCCTGGGATAGTGGAAGATGTCCCTGCCCATGTCAGGGTGTTGGGACTAGATGGTCTTTAAGGTTTCTTCCAACCCAAACCATTCCATGATTTCACATACCAGCATTAGACCAGAGATCCTCAGGCATCTGAGGGACGAGCCCCACACCAGCACTCCTCTCCCAGAGCCAGGGTACCTGCCACGGCACACAGGGATCCTTCTGCTGGCTGCCCACTTCCCTCCCTCCTCACAAACTAGCAATAGTTCAGTAGGTTCAAAACTCCACATTCAATCAAAACTAACTCAGGTGATTGCACCTTTCATGGCCCCATGCTGGTGCCACCAGCGTGGCATGGCAAATTTTAGAAAAATCAATCTCATTGTCACTGCTTGATAAAAATACCAAGGTGCTATTGACTGGGCAGGATGTGTACCCGTGTGTGACCATGAATCTTGGCTTCATTTTGGGAGAATTTGTAGTATGCATTGTTGCTGTCTTCTCTCAGACTGCTGCTAAAGCTGTTTAAATCCCTGCTCCTCAGAGCTCATCGGCTGTGTCTCATTGCAGAGTGGGCTGTGGTGTCAGATTCCCTGCCTGCCCACCTTAATGAGCCATGATTTGCAGCCCCAGGTCATTAGTGAAAGGAGGCTGTGAAGGGAAGAACAATATGGATAGAGGTTTGGAAATAGCCATGCCTTTTCTTTCTCACACAGTGCTGCAATCATGTGAAAATCAATCAGAACATGAGAAAAAAGCAAAGGATCTTTTGATCCAGTAGCATCAAAAATGGGGGCAAGTGCTGGGAGAACATCTCCTGAGCTCTTAGAGCAGCCTCTGAAGGGGAGAGTGGGGTACTTTACTTCTGAGAGCAATTTTGCCTTACGAACTCTCACACGTCACAAAACCATTATTTTGCTCCCAGTGAAAGAATGGGAGCAGGTGTGGAAAGCCATAAAACACCTTTATTTGGAGAAACACAAAGTGGTTCATCTCCAAGTACAATGGGAGGAGCACCCTGTGGCTCTCAAGAGGGAGTATTAGTACACAGAAATGAGAGCTGAGATTGGCAGCTGAGCATTGGGTGGTTTGGATGCTGATTTAGGAGTTAACCCCTCCAATCCTGCTTGGGGGTTGCTCCCATCCCTTCGGGTTTGCTGGGATACACTTGTGGGGCTCTGCTCACATTGTGTTTCCTTCTGTTCTGGTTTGAAAGCAAAACCAGTGAGAGACTCCAAGTCAGAAATGCAATTTATTAGGAAAATAAACAAAATAACATGCAATAATACAAAAGAAAAAAACAGAGTCAGAACACAACCTGACTCCTTTGGCCAGCGTGTTGGAAGCAGTCCAAATTGGAGTTGCTGCAGTCCTCATGCAGTGGCAGATGTGGTTCTGTTGGGGCAGTGATCCTTCAGAAGGGTGTAGTCTTCCTCTGGAGGTCCAGTGGAAAACCCCAGCTGTTCCACTTGTAATCCTGTGGAAAGGCTGACTGATGTCCCCAAAACCCAGATTATACCCAGGCAGGAATGCTTGGCTCCTCCCTGTGGGTGGAGCATCTCCCAACGGGATGTTCTAGTTCTTATCAGCCATCAGTGCCATTCAATAGCCCATTATCAGCAGATGTCTCCTCTGAGAGAGGACTGGTTGTGGAAGACATAAGGAAAAACTGCCCAATTAACAGAAGACAACTGCTGCACAGATGGCAATGGAATACATCTTGCTTCTCAATCTGGGACATCTCAGGCCACTCCTGGCCAGCAGTGTGAGGGCTTGGCAGGGTGTCAGGGCTGGGATCCAGCACTGCACATCACTGAGCA